AGTAATTCAATCCATTAATTCCACTGTATGAGCAGGCATATCAAATCATCATAGAAAAGCCTGAAGTAAAGCATGTCAACAAATTAGCTCACATAGATCTTGACCAAACTCTGGATCAACATCATTATAATCTTCTTACTGCAGACAAAGTTGTTTCTCTTATTCCTGGAGATGGAGAACCAGATGTGGATGAGCACTGTGATATTGTGTTGTGACAGTAACAATTTGATCATGGTGGTGGACTTAAGCACATTAGTCACATACACTCACTCTATTCACCTCTGCATTATGTTCTTTGTTTCCATTTGAAGAACAAGGGTGGCATAAGACCATATAATATATTCAAAATGCTGATGGCAATACACAAAGTGAATATGTTTCCCAATAGTGCTATTATGCATATTGCCTCCTTCCATGAAGAACTGATCAATCCAATATCTTCTATTGATTACCTACTGTCACAATATTGAATTACCTACTATCATAACACATGTAAAGCTCAATATTGGCTCCTATAGCTGGTATATCTGGTATAGCTAGTGCTATAGTTACATATAATATTTCAAAGCCCAGATGATGCTGCTATAGCTGGTATAGCAACCTGCCTAGCTATATAGCTATATGGTTTTTCCTGATGCATGTGTATTTAGGTATATATACCCTTGCAATGGATGGAGACTCCTCAGTGAGTCCTCCTGTTGTACAGCAACAACAAACTTATTTCTACTATTCTGAGTTTACCAACTCAATCTCACCTTCATCGCTACTCCTTGGGTTACTGTGTGTACACCAGAGTCTACAAACTTTGGGTATTGCTACAGGAGTCTCTGGAATACGTCTGTGGGACTTGTATTTTGTTGAGCTGAAGTCCTGATCTATAGGCATCCATCCACCAGTGCATTTGATGCTCACAAAGGCAGAGAGTGCTCAATTGCCAAGTTGTCCAACTTTCTGCCTTCAAGTTCCCAAAGACTCTCTGAGAGACAATTAAGGTTTGGTTCAATTGGGAAGAACTCTGTGCCAGACATATTTGGAGACTCTGCTGGGCCTGAAAGTAAACCCAAATCATCATTGCTGGCAGTTGTGACTATTAACTTGGACTGGATCTTTGTTAACTAATGCCATCTTCCTGCCCAACCATAAACAGCTGCAAGTTTTGACAAAACCAGATAAATCTGGTCCAAGCTAAAGCTGCTAAGCAGCTATTGTTCTCCATGGAGCATAGCCACCACTCCATGGAGTCACGCATTGTTTTCCTAGGAGTTATTGTACCTTAGCAAGTAGCACCTCCAACTATAAGTAGTAGCGGGCTTAGTATAGAAATGGCAAGTATAGTATACAGATGTGCAAGATTAGAGAAATCACGCTCATTAGCATACAGAAGCTTTTTAGTCTACTATCCACATTCCAGAATCAATATCCAGAATTGCTGGCCCCAATTTGGCCACTGCACAAAACAAGCGGCTGCTAAGTGATGTGCACCATAAAGTATATTTGCTTACAGTTGACACCAATCAGGCCACCTCATCAGAATCAAAAATCCTTATAGGAAAATGCAGCACTAAATGGGTATGTGCATAGGCACACAGCATAGTCAAATAAAAGTTGACTAAATTTATTGGCCATATAACAGCCTTGATCTCTTCTTGGACGATGCTTTGGGGCACGATGGTGATAAATTAGGATATGCATCCACCCACAAATCCTGGTAATGTGCATCCTCCATTTCATCCAACAGATAGTCCTGTTTACCATGATATTTCAAGTTATTTCTTCTGCCGCATCAAATAACTCACCATCCACTTCAGCAAATTTGTATTGACCTGAATTGATCCCCGTTGTTCTAGAGTCACCGTTGTCTGAACTCATCCGAGGTATTAGCGCAAAAAAACTGTCCTAGGGCTTCATGCCGTTATCATATAGAACATTGCATCTGAGAAAACTTTGAGCAATACTCCATGATCTGATAGTCTATTTCTAACATGTTTTCAAATTTGACTATTAAGGGCATATATTCTTTCATGATACTCGTAAGGAAGGAATAAGCTTCTTGACAGAACTCCAAAACCGTTCACAGCCCTCTCCATCTGTTAAGCCAAAATCCTGATATATTCTGGGGTAGTATATTATCTGACTAGGCCATTGATGCCCATAGGCATGAAATACAGATACTATGAAGACCATGCGGGGAAGGTGATCCTTGAGAAAGCCCCATTTCATGCAGTTACAATGTGGTTGACACATTATATCATATAATATGCCTATAGCCTAGAAAGGGGGAAGATGTTCAAATAATTGTTGGAGCAGAATAATCCCTTAAAGCTGACCAGAAAGCATTTGGAGGTTTGTGGGATTTAAACTTGGGATAAATGGCTAAAAAAACTCTGCTATGTACAATTTTTACGGGATTTACAAGGTTAATATCACCATCACAATAAATATACACAATGCCTGTAAACATGCCAGCCCATTTGCGTCCCACTTTATGCCATGATAAAACTCTTTGACCTTGTACCATCTAGGTGGTTTACAGTCATTTTTGGTGGGGGCAGAAGATCTCCACCAGGTATCTTTATCAAGATCAACAATAATAACACCCTTCAGGGAAGGATAATGAGAGATATCACATCCCAGAACCTTGAGGCAGTGTGCAAAACTTGGGATGTGCAAACCTCCATGAGCATCAACATCTCACAATTCCCCTTACCAACTGTATACCTTTGTATAAACCCATCAGGCATTCCAGTCAAAACGCTCTGTTGAAGGGTGAGGTTACATCCATATTTCAAGGAGGAGGTATCTTTGTTGTAGGAAGAGCCCTTCAGGGAGCTCTCAAAGGCACCCATAAGGGCCAATGTATGATGAGTATTTCATCATCCACCAAAAAAAGAGTACCTACAATATACAACATACTTATAGCATACAGGTCACTTGATAAAAAGAGACATGCCTTATTGCTACTTCAGCATCATCAACAATGGATAAAAACTGTACAACAGGTGAGAAAGAGTCTTGTGTGCCATTTGAGATAACATCCAATGCATTTTGAAGTGTAATAGGCATGGTGACAAGCACAGTCTTTTCCAAGGCTGGTGATTGTATGTAAGTGTGTACAAGCCTCTATATGAGTCGACTTACCCTCATCTGTGAAGGGTGTTAATGCTATTGATGCCACAGGGGACTGTTTTGGAGAGAGAGAGATAGGCTGTAGCTGTTTGGAAGGCAATATCTTGCTAGTGGAAATTGACAACTGATGTGAGATAGGTGGTGGCAATACTGCCTTGGGGTAGGTAGGAGAGTGTTTTCTCGCAAACCCCCTGGACTGAGATACTGTAACTGTAGTGCAAAAGGTGGAGCTAGCATTTATTGATCCTGTGTGAGTAGAAAGCATGGTTAGATTGCTGATTGTGTATCCAGTAGACTCACCTCCCTTTATAAGTACCTATTATATATTTTTACACTGGACACATGTACTGACCTTTCATTGTATTTGGAGAGCCACACAGTTATTTGCATAATAAACAGGTATGCTGCTCATACTTATTTGCATAGCTGGCAACAGGCATCAAGTGTTGACTGAGCATGCACACTGAGCATGGGAATCAGGTGTGCCAAATGTCCTGATTCCCATGGCCTGGAGTTTTGTTTTGCTGAGCAGACAATGGACCACACCCAGAGCGGTGTAAGATGCTAAAGGTGTCTGGGAGAGAACTGAGTATAGTCCTTATGTCCAAACACCTATGCATTGTTCAACCCACAGGGATCAACCAAGGGATTCAGAAGAAAGTGCTGAAGACTACAATGGAGTGGGTCCACAGATGAGTCCACAGGTCCACGGGTCAGTTCGCAGAGTCCGCACTTTTGAGTCTAAACAGAGTGAATATGTCACAGCAAGTTGTGATCTTGCTGGAAAGGTGATAATACAAGCGTGGGAGTGATAATATGAGCTGAGGATGAATATAGAGTGGAGAATACGGCACTGAAATGAACTATGATATGATGGCACAGATGTCTTCATGGACATGGATTTCTATGGATATTCAGATGCAGATTGGTCTGGAGACCCAGACACGTCTCGATCAACATCAGGGTTTGTCTTTATCACTATCCAAGGAGCAATCTCCTGGACAAGCAAAAGACAAAGCATGGTCGCTTTATCCTCCACGGAGCCAGAGTACATTGGATTGAGCAATGCTGGACAACACCTTGCATGGCTTTGGACATTTTTTGAAGAAATTGGACATGCTCAAAATGGACCTACAACATTGCACTGTGACAATCAAGCAGCTATCATTCTTACACGAGATCCACAGTTCCGTGCTCGCACAAAACACATTCAACGGAAATATCATTTTATCCGAGATGACTTAGTATCAAAGGGAGAGACACTAATCAGATACGTTCCTACAGGAGACATGGTTGCAGACATTCTCACTAAACCCCCCACTCATGAAAAACACTGGAAATTCTCTAAAGCTATGGGACTACGGTTGCACTCGAGTGGGAGTGACAAAACCGGATAAACCCGGTCTCTGCCGAAGCAGCCATTGTTCTCCATGGAGCATAGCCACCACTCCATGGAGTAACCATTGTTCTCCTAGGAGTCATTATACCGTAGCAAGTAGCACCTCCGACTATAGGTAGTAGGGGGTTTAGTATAGGAATACCTCAGTTGTTTCTATAGCCTCTCGGGCAGCGGCTGAGGTATGTTACATTACATTTATTAGAGATCACCTTAAACTAACATCTATTGTAGTTTCACTTAGGTAAATAATAGAGCCGTTTCTATAGCCTCTCGGGCAGCGGCTGAGTTTCACTTAGTTTTATTAGTAACGAGACTATCACATTTCACGAGGCAACAATTCTCCTCAACCTCATGCAGCTTTTTGTTCGGTTATCCGGATAAGGCTTCTGTGACATCTCCGTTACAGCGCAACCTGTGACAGTTATTCGCCTGTCACGCATTGACATATTGACATGCCTGGGAACACCAGATTCTCATCGTCATCCCAGTTTCGTATCCTTGAATTTTTAGCACATCAGCAATGACAAGTCTTTCCCTGGAAAAAATCTCGTCCAATAAACATCACGGGGGTGAGTTGACGAAATACAAGTTCAAGGTGCGTATTCGAATCAATTAATTGTCTGAGAAACTGCGCTGTTTAGTTCCTCGATTTTGACGCAATCTCTACTGCAGTCTGTCGCGCTCGGAGGAACTTGGGCACAGTTCAATCTCTTCACTCCCGCGAATGCTGCGCAAGGAAAAGTGCCTCTCCTGGTATATCTCGCAGGCTTGACGTGCACCGAAGATAATGGGTCTGTTGCATTAAGCATCGCGATAACTCAACTAATGCTCTAGCAGAGCCCAGAAAGGAGGATTCATGAGAGATGCTGCAGCAGAGGGAATCGCTCTCCTTTTCCCAGATACCTCTCCGCGGGGTGCTGAGGTTGAAGGAGAAGATTCTGACTGGGACTTTGGGACAGGCGAGTCCACTTCTGCTGACGATAACAGTCAAACGTGCAAACATCATGCCAGGCGCCGGTTTTTACCTGAATGCAACAAATCCAAAATACTCTACACATTACAATATGCTCAACCATGTCATGTTTGAGCTTCCTCGAGTCATCGGAACTGCTGGGTTCCCCATTGTGCGGCTGAAAATTTCAATGAATCTTGTCAGACCTTTTAAAATCATTAACTATGTAGGACTTAAAGCGTCAATCAGTCTTCGGACATTCTATGGGAGGTCACGGCGCGCTGACTTTTTATTTATCCTCACTTTTACACTCCAAACAATATCGTTCCGCCTCAGCATTTTCTCCCATATGCAACCCTACAAAATCTCCTTGGGGTGACAAAGCATTCAAAGGTTATCTACAGAATGGAGTCGAGGAAGCGATGGATCGGTATGACGCAACAAAGTTAATAGCGAAAACCAAAGAACCAGTGCATATTTTGATTGATTATGTACGATGGTCCATTAGGTACTTGCCCAGAACAGTAACCTTATTCATTATGAACAGGGAACCGGTGATAATTTTCTGGATCAGCTTCATCCTGCTGCCTTCCTCAAGGCTGCCAGAGACGCTGGTCACGACGAGGTGCAAGTACGAGTCAGAAGCCACGATGGGTATGACCATAGCTACTACTTCGTGAGTACGAATGTTTTCAAAGCATTTTTTTTGCTCTGAATTGAGTATCAGATTTCCACATTTGCGTCAGATCATGTTCATTGTAAGAATTACCACTACCTCTAAAACACGTGGGATTCTTATGTCTTCTCCATCAAGTCCATGCCAACTTCCTCAAAGCTTAATTAACATTTCATAAAGCTATTGAATTATATCAGTTGATAGTAACTTTGTATTATGTGAGTACGCAAAGGATAATGGACGTCCTGCAAGGGACTAGTTTTATCCGAATGACAGCCCGCCTTTAGTGTCAACGAGGTCCAGCCCGTGGCTCTGCCACTGGTACGATGTTTTTGTGATATAATAAATAATAATAATAATAATATCACTGTTAAGTGATCAAAATGTTAAGTAAACTTATGCTGTTCGTGATGTATGTTAAGTCTTTGAATCCTATGATGCATGTTTGACTTGCAGTTCTGTCGTTGAATGTCCTTATAAGCCTGCCCTAAACTTGTGCACAGTATACTGAATTCAAGCAGATAGTTCATTGAACCTTTACAAACATCAACATATATTGTAACGCAAAAAGTCTGGTATTACATTGATAAATTGATGAGAAATAAAAAAAGAGACTCCAGAAATGGTAAAGGATGAAAATATGATCTGAGAATAAAACACTTTAGTAAAAAGGGTGAGAATTGGGGAAAAATCTACTTGCCAGTCACAGATAAAGCCAGTCAGAATTTCGGGATACACCACATTGACGGCACGTCTGTCATTTGAACCATGTGGAAATAGCACTTTTATTCTCTCTCCTGAAGTGCAGCGAGACAATGCAACGTAAAGTTGCTCATGTGAAAACACTGGAACACATAAATCCAGCCCAACCTGTGTCAATAATGGCTGTTAATTTTTGTAATGCAAAATGTGCAAATTCTCGACAACAATTTGTTTTGTGTGTAGGGCCAGACCATTTCCCCACATAGTAGGAAAAGAGATTTGTTTGTTTGGTTGAGTTGTGTCATGTCGTGCCACAGGCGTGAGTTTTGGTGTCCACTATATCGCGTTTTGTAGTAAAAATGATTAAGCACGAGAATTTTTAATGTGGCTACAATTTTCACTACAATTGTTGCCCTCTACTGCTAACCAAAAACCACGCGAGCAAAACTAAGCAAAAAAATGTGCTCCCACGTGTGCTGCACGCGACTTTTGGGACCACCGTCCCCTTCGTTATAGATGAACAACAGGTGGTGCCACAGCCGAGCGGCGCTGACGGACGATTGGCAGGGTGGCATCACACTCGAGATTGAGGAGATTTTTTAGCCTTGTCCGAACTAAGGGTGGCGCACAGGCGAGTCAAAAAAGGCAAAAAGGCAAAATTCAGGCAAGTTCTTCTGGCCAAGGTGTGCTCACACTCCGCAGACATATTCTACTTATACAAAGATTCACTCAAATTGCATGTATGAACTTTCTCACTCCTTACAGTCAGACTACAAATACCATACAAAAAAGATAGAGGAAATTTCGGAAATGGGACCCCAGGAGTGACTAAATAAGCATAACTAGGGAAGTCAGTGTTTGCCACCCTTATCCTAACATCCCCTTGATTCAAGATCTAATCTTGTAGCTAATACTCAATCCTCTACAAAGCAGAAGTGTTATCTTGGGTTTAACCCAGGTGAAATGAGTGTATAATTTTCAAAATTTACTTGGATATTTTATTGTTTTACAAAATCTGTCATGTAAAATGCCTAAAATCATAGCGCAAATATGTACTTCTTGCTTCATTTGTTCAGTCATACTAAGATAAAATTTCATTCCCATTCTGGAAAATAAGTCATGTCAAGGCCAATAATATGTGTTGCCCACTTGTTGCCTGCTGATAGCCGCTTCTCACCCACTTGTCGCCCACTGATTGCCTGGTAATCACACATGCAGTTTACAACATCAGTGCATACAGTATAATTTGCAGTAGTCTATTTATGCCCAATATTATATGCTGTCAGCACCATGACCTTTGGAGTTGTTGGAGTTTGGAGTTTGGAGGTGCACTGTGAGAGTGGAACAGAGTATGAGGTTGGGAGTTGGCTTAGCTTGTGCACTAGACCGTTCCACAGACCATATTCCCTAACTCAATTCAGTGAACAAGGGGAGAGTAGAAGATGAAAGTAGAAGAGGAGTAAAGGGACCAGAATGTTAGAGAATATAATCCATACATAGACTTCTTTGATTACTAAGGTACACAGCCACCTCAAATAGAAACACCGGAACATATATTCAACTGCTTCAGCTTTATGCAAGCAGTTGAACTGTGAGTAATACTTTATAGAACAACCTCCACAGTATCTTATTGATGATTTTATAGTACATTATAATTGTCTAGGTACATAATACCAAAACTTGAGCTTTATGCAAGCAGTTGAACTTACATTATAATTGTCTAGATCTCTTGCCAGCTCACAGGTTATGAGTCCCGCTATAGCTTCTCACCAGTCTACCCAAGTTAACTTGTCAGGCATCTATGCAGTACCTAAACTAGCCAAAGATGCCTCAAACTGGTCACTATGGAAATTACAGACTATAATGTCCATCTCAGCAAGAGGCTTACTCCGTCATCTATATGGATAAGTAGAAGCTCCTACACCACTTCCCTGAAGCACCAATGTCACCCAAATTCTTGCCTATGATGGCACAACTGCTGCATCAGAGATGTTGATAAAAGAAAATGAGAAAACCAATGATGTATTCTCAAGGGAAGAAACCATACTGCAGCAACTCTTTGCTACAGTCCCAGAACATGTACACTTCCAAATCAAAGACATACCTACCGCTGCTAAAGCCTGGGACAAAGTATGCAAAATTTATGAGGACAAATGCAAAATTGCACAAGTGGACACATTTAGACAATGACAGGAGTTACACTGCAAAGAAGATGACAATGTCATAGATTATCTACTCCAAATGATCAAACTATGAGACCAACTGTAAAAAATAGGATCACCTATCAAAGACAAAAGCTTCTCCACAATGATATTAACATCAATGCCCTCATCCTACCGGGACATGCTCTCATCAATAACTTGAGCAGACCATGTTTCAAAGAACCCATTAACCCCATACAAACTCATGTCACATATCTGTGAAGAGGTTGAATTCCGAGCTATAGAAAAATCATCAGAGTTAGCATTGAAAGCATGAGAAAAGACAGGAAAGCTAAAGTTTGAAAAACAAATAAAACATGCTTCAATCCAAACTGCCTCCAAGAGAGTCATACAATACAAAAATGATGGTGAGAAGGAGGAGGAAAGGAAGGCCAAGGTCCTAATAGAAGAAAAGATGTGAAAAATCCTATGTGGCTCAAAAACAAGATGTTGAACAAATCTATGCATTCACATCTTTCAAGACCACATACTCTGCAGCCACCAATAATCCAAACACCCCCACCACTAACATAATACTTGACTCTGGTGCCGCATTGCATTTTTGTCCCGGAAAAGACAAGTTCAAATCCATCGAAAAAATCCATCCTTGATCCATTAGTATTGCAGATGGACATGACCTGAAAGCACTAGGAAAAGGAGATATTGAGATTAAACTACCAAATGGGAATAAACACACAAAAATCACCCTTGAAGATGCTCTATAAGTACAGTGACTCCAAAAACCGTTGCGATGTTTGGCCTAAACACGGTGCACGAAGCACACCACTAACAGGCATGGGAATGTCACTTGACTTTGGTGGGGTTGACAACATTACTCGGTCTTGGCTACAAAATGATTCCTGGGTCATGTGATTTGGCCCAGCGGTTGTGGAAACATGTCCATTTCAAAACAGCAATACCATTGCAACAGTTTTTTCACTTTTGGTATCAAGGGAGATATCTAGGGAATATCAGTACTTGGTATAGCCTCCTTTTGCCTTGAGCACTGCTTGAATCCTCCTAGGCATGCTTTCAATTAAGTTGCGACATTCTGCAACTGCTATCTTCTCCCACTCCACTTGAATCCTCTTTCACAACTCCTCCATCCCATTAGGAGGGTGTTCATACTCTGCAAGCCTCCTCTTGAGACAACCCCACCCATGTTTAATAGGATTAATGTCAGGAGACTGTGCAGGCCACACCATAGTTCTAAATTTCTGATCATTTAGCCACTCCTTGACCTTTTTGCAGGTATGCTTGGGGTCATTATTTTGCTGAAAGATGATGTCAAGAGGATTGGAATCATAATACTGCAGGGTGTTTATAAGTTAGCCTGGGAGGCGCAGGTACAAGTTGAGGACCATATGGATGATGTGACAGTACTAACGGCATGAAGCTTAGTCTTTAATCACTTTTTATCATCAGCAACCGGGAGATGCCAGTACACCGGGATTGTCTCTCCAAAACAGAGTGGTATGACATGTTGGCAAGCATAGGAGACTACAATAAGGTCATTCTGGAGCTCAGGCAGGTTTTTGCTTCAAGTTTGATAGTGGTACTATTGCTACATTTAGTGGGAAGTTGCTGAATTATGGGGTTTTGTCCTGCAATGGCAAGAGAATATGTTTTGCATATTACATGAGAGAGTATAAACATACAATGTGTGGGATGGTCAGTACCTTCACATGATCAGAACTGTCTTGATCTGGGTACATTACTGCTACAAGTTTGTAGCTATCTGTAGTAGCTTGCTCAATGAAAAAAGTGAAACCCAGGCACACTGCAGTTAGATACCGGGAGTAAGTAGAAGCCCGGGAATTTTGTATTACTACAAAGCACGGGGAGTATTAGAATGAGTGTTGTAGTTGAGTTCCAGAGCGGTAAGAGTATGGGAGTGGAAATCCACTGGGTGGAGTTCTCCATCCAGAGTTGAGTTGGAAAGGATGGCAGCAATGGTGTAGTCCAAAGCATCAGTTTCTACAATTAGATGGGTGTCTGGAACCCAGTGCGAGAGAACCAGAGCAACTGTGAAGGCATTTTTTAATGCTTCCAAGGATTTCTATAACAATCCACATCCTATACCAAGCTAATGGAGGTATAGGTTGTCAATCTTAGCAGGTAGTTTTAAACTAAATGGTATTAAGAAGAAATCAAAAGCTAAAGTATGTACATGCAGGTATGACTACTTATATATGTAATGACACATGTCAGCCTTGAGGCGCTGACTTATAAACATGATGTAGAGGCATGGTGCTTTGTAAGTAATCATGTGACCGTAAGTCACATGATGAGATAAGATAATAGATAAGATCAAATGATTAAATAAGGAGAGATAAGGTGTTCAACTTGGTCATTGGTGATAAAGGGAGTTATCAGTATCTGAAGGACATAATTGTGACATTACCCTCCCTTAAGACTTTTGTCTTGAAAGGTTGGTTTGAGTTTCCCGTTTTCCCAATTGAAAAGCTTACAATTGTATAATGGTTTGGTGAGGTTTTCAAATAGTTGATACTGTAATGTGAAGTTTATGCATCGAGGTGCACTTGGAAAATGATCATGGAAATCTTTGACTAATTCTGGAGCATTTTTACATGAGATTCCGGTTCCCATGTGCATTCTTCTTTGCCGTATCCTTCCCAATGTACTAGATACTCTAACTTGCCACATTTGATTTGTGAGTCAAGTATTTTCTCTACTACATACTTTTTTTGTCCATCTACTTCAGCAGAAGTTGGGGGTTTCAGTTTTTTTTGTCCTGAAAATGTAGATTCTTTATAGGGATGTAAAAGATTTCATTGAAGACCGGATATATGTTTTTTCCATTTTCCAGGCAGTTTGAGCTTGTATGCTGCCAGACTGGTTTTTTTTTGATGACATGTGGTCTGTGTCATTTGTCATCTAAATTTTTTGATGGCCAATCTGCTGTAATATGTTCAGCTTCTACAGAGACTTTATCCCCTGGTTAATACTCAATGCTTTCTTTTTTGTTTTTGTCATACAATCTTTTCATAATCTCAGCTGCCTGTGCTAATGATTTTTCCGCTTCTTTTCTTGTCTCCTTTATTCTTTCTACAAACTCTTCTGCACTTTCACTCTTTACTTCTGCCTTTTTTCCTGTTTCTACTTTCGGACATTGACTGTTATTGAGATAAAATGGACAATAACTTGTTACTGAGTGTTTTTTGTTGTTATAAAAGAGAATTCTGCCAATGGTAACCATTCCACCCAGTCATCTTGTTTGTGGTTGACAAAAATTTGGAGATATTGTTCTATCTTCTGATTAATCCTTTTGGTCTGTCTGTCTGTCTGGGGATAATATGCACTTGCTGAGAGCTAACAGGGACAGAACTAGAGTCCAGTATGAGTAACTATATTATCAGAAAGTACAGAATGTGTACAGTACCTAGAGTCCAGTATGAGTAACTAAAGAATAGGAATACTGGACTCTGCAATACTAGTCCGAAGTTTTGTAAACAAAGGTAAACAAATCAGCCACAAAGGCAAAATTATAGAATGCTCAGTGAATACTGAACAATAGAGCAAAAAAAATAAAGAGGAAAGTGATTTAGAAAGAAGGGAAAATAGATAGCACAACTAGGTGTAGAATCACCAAAACTAACACTTACTGTGAATGACCCCACATAGCCGACTCCCCATTGTTATGAATGCAAGCCACTCAGTATCTAGTAGAGGTGGCCAAGACATGGTTTTTATAGTGACCACTGCACCAGCCTCTGCAATTGATGAAAACAGACAGGTTAGCACATTCAAATTGGCCAACAACACAAACCAACAAACCTATGTAACAGAATGCACTTGAGGCAGCCACAAAATCATTGCATGGCCTAAATGGGCAAACACTCCTTGAACTGGGAGATGAGCAGCAATTCCAACAATCTTTGGGGCATAAAACTACAAAGAAAAGGTGCAGTTCAAAAAAGCAACAAAATATTGCAGGTACAGTCATTAATACTATATATTAGCACTTTCTGACATCTCTGCATCAGGGAGGCAATGGGTGAGATGCAATGGAAGGCTGGAAAGGTGTGGTCAATAGGTAAGATTTGAAGGCAGACACAAATATTCCTAAAAGGGAGGTTGTGGTAGTGATTTGGTCAACAAATATAATTTTACTTACAAAATATTGTCCTGTAATGCATCTTGAATTTGCTAGATTATGTGTGCATTTAGGCCCTTGATTGGTAAGGTAACAATTCTGAGTCTTGGTTCTTATAGGTTTCTGCAAGAAGGTGAGTTTCTCTCCACCTAGAGTATGCCCATAAGCAAGGCCTACTTACCTAAGGACATCAGGAGTTGGGCCTGCATCAGCATGTCCGGTATAGCGTGTCCAGTATAACAAAGTGAGGACCTGTGCAAAGGTTGTTGTCAGCCTGTAATCAGGGTCAATGGTGATGTTACAAATAGTGTGATACCTGATTTGTGATAAAATAAGGAAATTAGCATCCAAAACTACAAGGCTATAGGCCCGCACTGAAATTATTTTGGCTTGGAGTTTAGGAATGGAGAGTGACAGCATGCTAAGATAATTGTACATACCTCGTGTTACACTAGTATTCCTCCAACTCAAAATGACTATTCCATTTTGATTCTTCAATGACTGATATCTTGAAGTCCATTAGATTGGCTGACCACATTGAGTAATAATCTGACCATGCAAGAATTGGTGGATAGGCTATGAGTGAGAGGTTTGTTTTATCAGCGGCTGAGAATCAGAGCTTATAAACCTGAGATTGCAAACATGCTACTCACCACAATATTTCCATGTAGCAATCAGCTGCCATATCCAATTCTGAGAGTGCAAGGGAGGCAAACTTGAACCCACAAATCAGGCGAGTGCATGAGAATGCTCTGGTAGAGAGCCCACACAAGCATCTGTGAGTGGTCAAGTTGTGGTTGCTGGCAGGCGTGGCATACTCAGGATTGATTATTACCTCATTTAGCCATGTTTGCCACCCAAGCACAAGCCATGGTAGGCATTTCTGTTACACTGTCCACCCTTTTGTCAATATTTGAGCTCTCTTGGACTCATGCAAATAAGTGAGGATTAATCTGAAGAAGAGCTTTTAGCTGTGTAAATAGTATACAGTCATAATCACACTACAGCTTAATGGTTCTTGACAGAGAGCGTCGAGAAAATGAAGCTTTCGACATTTTTCTCAACATGATACCAGGTTTCAGAGTTCAGCTCACCAGCACAATGTCTGAACATGACATTGAGACTATGGCTGATTTGGTGAGTTACACAGTCTCTGTTTCATCTGATAATAGTCAAGTCAGATTCAAAGGGCTGCTCTGGTGCTTGAACAGATAACACAAAGGCCCTCAAGGGTACAATTATTGATTGGATCACACCAAAAGACCAGCATCTTGACCCTCCACTGCACCGTAACATTAAATCTACAAGAGGTTTCAACCATCCACGTACTGGTCGGCTGCTATGTCCAGCAGGCCTCAATTGGGATGATCCAGAGTGAGTGCTTCTGACATTAATCTCAAGCTAATTATATTCACATGATAGACTAGTATTCAAGCAAAACTGAAGACTGGTGAAATCCAAGTCACCAGCAACCAATGGCCCATATTTATTTATGCTAACTTTACCTACGACTATGGTAACCCATGGCAAGGTCTTCTCCATAGCAACCTTCTTGTTCAGGTAAGTAAAAATTTGCAATCAGCTGGTGAAATTGATGTTGTTATTAATTCAGGCTTACAAACACATATCCTTGTTGCCATCTTCTGTTGATTCAAGCACAGAGTTTCGTGCTACACGGTCTTCAAATACTTGCTTGCATGGCATGTCCCGGGTGACCCACTGCTCTATCTTATACATTGCTACCCAAGTAAGTTCTGCACACAGTCTAATCTACAATCTAACCTTTTTTTAGGTTTGTTTTGCCTTATTATCACAATCTGTGTTCTCCCGCACCGGCACAGTCACAGATTTAGAGGGTTTCTTCAACACCATTATGGAGTCGCTTCAAGACACTAATGACATTGAGGAAACCAATGATCTTCTTGCCTGGTGGGACCTGTGAGTTGTTTTTTTTTGCTTGACATCCAAGTTTCTCACTTAATAATTGACAGTAAAATATTCCCTTTGTCTCTACGATAACAAAGGTTGCCGGCCAAAAACAGTGCACTTGCAAAGATTAGGGAGAAATGTGCCGTAATGAAGCTGGCCACAAACTTGTAGGTTCTCTCATTGTGTCTTGTAATTGTATATATGTATGTGTATGCCGTACTGCTGACTTGGAGTGAATAACATAATATTTTCTCTTGCATAGTCCTGTCCCAGGAGTGATACTGTTCCTTGTAATAGATTCCAATTGATAACAGTACAACACATCTTGTCTTTGCTGGCAATTTGATATATTTTATCAGGCATTATAAACCCATGTCATTGAGATATGTATGAAATGTCTCACCCTTCGGTAGAATACAGATGTGGTTACTAAGGTGTTGTAAGTAAGTGTCGTCAAAATACTACTGATAGTATTATATGAGTGTTTATATATTTGATGATTTAATGCCAGTCTGACATACATGCTGGCCGACATAAACTATAGCTAGCAATATACCTACAGATAGACCTTATAACCAACAATCAGAATTATAAATCTTACAAAGGATTATTGGTCTGATTTTGTTGACAGAAACATGAAACTCTATCTAGCTATATAAGAGCTTAAAATTGTGTCCATCAGACTGATATTTATGATAGTCCTTGTATGTATTACAAGATTTTATAAAGCTTGTCTCCACTCCTCCCAATTTCTTGATGTATATGTGATTATTTCAATGATACCCACACCATAAGAATTATGACAAGTGTATAGTACCTGACAATGACTATTGCCTTCCTGTCAGGCTGACAACTCCTAATCTGATTTGGATTTTCCATTATATCACCTGTATGATCTGATACAGGTGGACAAGTTTGGGAGCACATTACAAACTCTGTCTGGTCATATCATTTTCTCACAATTTTCTTGATGTAGTAATACCACTAGCACTGGCCTGGCACCTACTAGTTGAAAATCTAGGACCCTGAGTCTGTGGTTTGGACTTACTGCAAGTATTGAATCTAAGTTCTGGAAAATGCGGTAACTAGTATCCAAGTTATAGCAACGATCACTAGGAGCTTTCCAATGGTGTATGGTATCTCTGGGTGTCACATTAGTATTAGCTTGAAGATGGCACAATTTTGAATTGAATAAAACTTTGCTCACTGGCACAGCCACTAGATGCAAGGTATCTGATGTTTGAAAGTTTAGACTTGCTTACTACAAAAATGGGATACACATGCTGGTTTGAGGTATATACAGTAAGTTCTGTCAGTGTAAACATACTAGTAGTAATAACTTAATTTAAAAACCTGAACTGTGAACTTGGCTTCACCAGTGCTCACTTCTATGCCCAGTGTTGGTAGGTTGGACATGTTGCTGCACTGCCTGCTAGCCTGAATAGTATAGCTTACACTACTTTAATTTGAACTTTAATAAAAATAAATTTCCAAAATACTGAAGTCAGCATTCCACTGGTATACTGCTGAAAACAAGCTCGTTTAAGTTTACTCCCACTGTCATATCCTTGGGAAGTCCCAGACTGATAGGGATAATACCAGGGACACAGCGGATAACACTTGTGACAACTAGGATATCCCTTGGGATGTCCAAGACTGATAGGGGCATTCCCTAGGATAACACTTGAGAAGACAGCAATATCCCTTGGGAAGTCTTGGGCAGATATTCATACCCTCAGAGATTACAATTGGGAAGATAAGGGTATTCCTTGCCATAACATTTGAGAAGATAGGGACATCCATTGGAACAACAGTTGGGAATATAGAGACACCCTCAGGGATAACACTTACAATATATAGGGAGTTCATAACCTATAGTCACATTCCCTGCAATAAGACTTAGCACACCAAGAGTATAGGTGATATGTCACACAAGGTAGCCCCAGCCAGATGAGATAGATATTCAATTCAATCATCATATATGTGATTAATGCTTGGCTTCTGATATTAGACTCACCTACCAGATAGATATTATTAAGAACAAAGCTTAAAGGAAGTGTTTAGCCACTTGCTGAGAGCAATCAGGGACTAGAAACTAGAGTCTAATTTGAGTAACTAGAGAATAAAAAGCATTGGACTCTGCAGTACTGTCCGAAGTTTTGTAAATAAAGGTAAACAAAGGAGCCACAGAGGCAAAATAATAGAGAACACAATTAATACTGAATGATAGAGGGATAAATAGAGAAAAGAATGAAAATATGTAGGTAGCACAAAGGTACAGAATAAACCAAAACTAACACTCCCCCCTGATGCTGCACCTCCCAAGCATCAGCTCCCCCCTGATCTAATCAGTCCCATCATTTGCCTAAACACTTTGACTTTAGGCTTGGCAAGAGCCTTGGTCAACAAGTTTGCAGGCATTCCAGCAGTGGAAACAAAGGTAGGAGCAATCTGGCCAGAGTCAATAACATCTCTCAACCAGTGCCATCGTAAATCGGGGTGTTTCATGTGACCATGGTGCTCAGGATTCTTGGATACAGAGATGGCAGATTGGTTATCAATATAAAGGGTGGAAGGAGAGGTGATAGAATAGCCCATTTTCTGCAACAGATTTTACATCCAGCAAATCTTTTTCCCAGCTTCAACAGCAGCAATATATTCTGCTTCAGTGGTGGATAGAGCAACAATGTTCTGAAGCTTGAAGCTCCAGGAAACAGCACCAGATCCTATCTTGACAATATATGCACCAGTAGAATGACCAGAGTCCTTGTCACCACCATGATCAGCATCAGAGAAAGCGGTGAAGAGTTCAGTGGAATTAGCATCAGGACCAAGGACAAGGAAATGATCAAGGGTGCCTTGCAAGTAACAAAACAAGTGCTTCACAGCGCTCCAGTGAGTGAGACCAGGACTGAAATTGAATCTGGCAAGGACTTTAACATTGTAGGCAATGTTAGGACAAGTAGTAGTGGCCAAATACATTAGAGCACCAACAGCAGCAAGGTAGGAAATGTCCTTCATCACAGCAGCATCATTGGATGTCTTGGGAGAAATGTCCTTGATGAGGCACAAACTAGGATCTATGGGAGTAGACATAGGCTTGCATTTCTTCATGCCAAAGTGCTCCAGAATATCCAAAGTGTACTGAAGTTGGGACAAAGATATAGTGTGATTGCTGAGTTCTCTGGTGATGGATATGCCAAGCAGGTAGGAAGTAGGGCCAAGATCACAAAGTTTGAAATGCTGGGAGAGATCCTTGACAGCTTTGTCAAGTGCAAAAGTAGAAGTGGATGCCAGTGTCATGTCATCAACAAAGACAGGCAGGATAATGTGCACATCAGCTCTATTAAAGACATAGATGGCAGAGTCTGAGTAGGTGCATTTGAATCTGAGTTGTTCAAGCACAGTGTGCATCTTCTGGTTCCACATTCTGCCTCCCTGCTTTGTCCCATAGATGGCCTTGTCTAGCTGGCAAACAAGATTGTGAGGGCTCAGATGGAATGCCTCTGGCTGGTGCATGTAGACCTTGACATCCATAACTCCATTAAGGAATGCATGGGAAATGTCAATGAAGTGCAAATGAATGTTGTGGATGGCTGCAATAGCTAGAACAACTCTGATAGATGATATGCAGACAGTGGGTGCAAATATTTTGAGGAAATCAAAGCCAGGACGCTCATTATAGCCTTTGGCCACATATCTGGCGTTGTAGCGCTCAACAGAGCCATCTGAGTTGTGCTTGATCTTGAAGACCCATTTGCCACCAATAGTCTTTTCTCTGGGAGGTAGTCCCACTAATGACCAGGTACCATTGCACTTGTGAGCTTGGAGCTCTTCCATGGCTGCCTCTCTCCACTTATCAGTATCTGGGTGCCTCACAGTGTCTGCAAATGACCTAGGTTCAGCAGAATCACCAAATTGTGCCATTTCATCCCCAGATGCCTTAATCAATCACTACTGTCACTGTCAATAGCAGGAGTAGGTTCTCTGTGTTGAAGCCACCATGGTCTAGGTGGTTTCCTAGCCCTTACAGGGTGTTTAAGTGCAATAGGCAAGTCAGGAGAAGGTGAGTGATGAAAAGGGTGATCTGGAAGTCCAGCAGGTTGATAATAAAACTAAGTGAAACTCAGCCGCTGCCCAAGAGGCTATAGAAACGACTTTATTATTTACCTAAGTGAAACTACAATAGATGTTAGTTTAAGGTGATCTCTAATAAATGTAATGTAACATACCTCAGCCGCTGCCCGAGAGGCTATAGAAACAACTGAGGTATTCCTATACTAAACCCCCTACTACTTATAGTCGGAGGTGCTACTCGCTACAGTATAATGACTCCTAGGAGAACAATGGTTACTCCATGGAGTGGTGGCTATGCTCCATGGAGAACAATGGCTGCTTCAGCAGAGACCGGGTTTATCCGGTTTTGTCAGTTAATTTGCATATGGTTTTGCATCAAGGTCCAAATCAAGCCCATTATCAGGTAAATGCTGAGGTTGCTGAAGTACAGCTGGTGGGCCAATATCTCCCTCAAGACAAGCACGGTTCACAGACAGAACCAGGAGAAGCCTTGCATTCCAATGTTAGCCCAGTAACCAGATCTCTCTTTATCAGTCTCTTCATATCAGCATGATGGTGGTGAGCCAATCTGCAATGCCAAAGCATCAAATCAAGTGGTATAGTTGCAGTAAAATGTCCCAATTCAATGCAAGCAGCAGTAGATCCATCAAGGAGTGCTGCATTGTTGTCATTGATGGTTGCAGTAAACAGAAGAGTGTCGTCATGCATAAAGGATATGAAATGAGACAAAATGGTGACATTGAAACCACTTGACAAGGTAAATACAAGACTAAGAGGATATTGTTTTGAAGATCTGGTACATGGTGCACTCTAGAGAATCCTACAGCCCTTGAAAGTTTGCCATTTATCACAGGATTGAGCACCACAATATCAACACCAGCTGAATAGACGATAGTATGATCAGCCAGTTTGATTGGCACACAATATGGGGTATAGTGGTGAACCCAATGACAATGAGGTGCCATGTGAGAAGTGGTGCCTGTGTCTGCATTTTAATCAACATCAGCATCAAGTTGGAGAGGGCAGTGAGGATCAGAGCATTGAATAGAGCAAAGAGTTTCCTTTCCAGCTGATTCAGTGACCACAGTAGAGGAATTGGCATTGTTGGGCAGAGATTTGGGCTGCTGAGAGTTATTCTGAGCATTGCTAGAGCCTACCTGAGCATTATTGCAATGCCTGTAGCAATTCTGAGCACCCTCCACCGCCTACTTGCAACTGGCAATGTATCTGTGGCATTTATCCTGGTTATGACCAAGTAAACCACAGAAGTCACACTGAATATGAGTAGAGGTAGTGGACGCATCTAATAAAATAATTCAGTGGTACCAAACACATATGTGCATACACTTACATCGCTAATGAGACCCTGAAGCTTGTGTTTTTTCTTCTTCTTTCCAATTAAGTTGGCAAGGTAAGGTGTGTGATCCATTATGTAGTCATACACATACTGATGACATTTGTGTGTGTTGTCAACTCTGTAAATTGCTAAAATATATGCATATATCCACATAGGAATAACTTACACCTTTTCCAAAACTTTATTTTGTGCCCTCACTAATCTCTCATCCTCTAGATTATCTTCATTTTCTTCAGCTCGGACAGCTTCCTCCTCAAGTAGGAAGCATATATTCATGACTTCATTGATGTTGCTGAACATGTCTAACCCACGAGGAATCCAGTGTGCGACCTGCAGGCACTCCTCTTGTGGAGTTAAGACCCTACAACATGATTTTGGCTTCCTGCCATATTCAGATAGCCATTAGTGTAACCATTCTTGGATATGGATGACTCAGACATCTCACCTTTTTGTGTCTCTAGCTGTTTTCTTCGAGCTCTTGATGAGGCTACATATTCTATTGATTAACTCAAGGTCAGTTTGATTCAAGCATGTATCACAGAACTTGCCTTCGTTTTTTAGAACTCTGTCCACTTGATCCTTCAGGCATATTCATTACTTCTCTACCACGCTTACTGTTGGTCTTGCTACTTGCAGGTAAAGTCTTGATCTGTGCTGATTCTGATTCTGAACCACTGTTACTGGTGGAGTCTGAGTCTGTAGAACTGGACTTAATGGTGTTTCTTGGTTGTTTAGGCATGGTGGTAGTGTGAGTTGAAAGATTCAGCTTCATTTATTTCAGATGAAAGGTAAATTGTTTCCGGGCCATCCTTGCCTTTGATCAATTTGTCATGCTCAGTCAAAAGGCCTTGACTCCTATTGTTGCTGTCGACACTCATCAACACATACCATCATCTATCATTCATCTGATCAGGTCTATCAAAACACGAAGAAGTCATAAACTTTATCATTCAACCTTAAGTATGTTTCTCACAGCTCTCACATGCTATTTCATTGCTCATATAATTCTACACACAATTTCATCCCCATTACAGTGTATGGCTCAATACAACTGCTTAGGCTGTGATGCCACCTTCGAGACCCAAAAACAGCTCTCAGCACATACAGGCCAGTGTGCTGATAGTCTATTGTTTACTCACAACATATTCCAGCAAAAATGGAAGCCAGACAGGGAAAAAAATGAGGGTAAAGTGAAGAGAGCCTGCTGTTGCTCTCCAGTGACAGATCATGCTGATTCTGTCGACACTGAGGCCAACCTGCAACCAAATGAGCAAGACGCTGTGGTGATAGATCAGGATACCATACATGCTAATGCTGATGGAGCTCCGTCTCCCCTTGTGGTGGTATCCCAGCGCTCAGGCCGCTGTATACAGATGCCAATTCCGTGATTTTCTCCCAGGTGACGCAAGTCATCTTGCACATATGCCCCTCACTGCTCATCAACAACTTGCTCATAATCCCAAGCTCACTCCCCCACCACAGCTCCCAGATATTCCTGAATTAGAAGTGCATGATGTGGACAACAACAACTCTGTCATTTGCTACACTACAAAACCCAACACTATGGGTTTATATCATGTCTATCCGACATGTCCTACACTGGTACCCATAGATACACTAGATGATGTCTGTGATGCCCCAACTCTGCATCAAGCCAGTCAACCAGCTCTGCCTCCAGTACTGTCATGTGTGCCTAGGTCTGCTGCAGAAACTGATGACGTTTTTTCTGCATTTACCAATCCAACTTGCGGTCTTCTCATGGCTTGGCAGCACTCTGGAACTACCATGAAATCTGGTGCAGAGCTCAATCGTTTGTTGCATTTCATTCAACATCCACTATTTGATCAAAAGGACATGGACGGCTTCTGTTACAATTGACATACCAGCACCTACTTACGCTTCACTTTTGTACTTCTACTTTTATTTTCCAAGTCACATGACCAGTCATGTGACCATTTACTTTACTTTACATTTTCGGACTTTTTCATAGTCACATGACCAGTCATGTGACACATCACCTGACCAGTGTCTAGACTCATCATGTGACCGGTCACATGCTAAACATCGGACTTTGAACTTTATTTACAACTGTACAGTACCTCATGTATTTTAGTATATATACAGGAGCAATACATGGGGAAAGACTCAGCGAGTCCTCCTGTTGTCTAGCACAACTAACTCACTGCAGCCTAAGGGGTAACCACTCCCCATCATCTTCTTTATAGTGTGTTCCTGTGTGCGCCAGAGTAAATAACTCTTGGTTGTTACAGCTTCTCTAGTCATTGTGAAGAGGCTTTGATGGATAAGTATCTATAAGCAAATGAAAATCCCTTTTCTGAGGCACAGGGATGGCGAGAATCAACCATTAAAATAACCCTACCCAAGGAAAAGAAGAAAGTGGCTGAATCTGCCACTCCTACTATGTCTATTGGAGTAATATACCACCGTGATCTTACTGATGTTATCACCTCCGCATTCAAAGACAGTGGTTCATTGTCTTTCAACATGACACCATTTACTCAGCGCTGGGACATGTCTGATGGCAAGGTAGTAGACATATTCTCTGAGGCTTACACCTCTGCAGATTTTCTTGAGGCACATGAAGAAGTGAATGCATTACCAAGGAATCCAGATGACATCCTTGAACAGGTTGTTGCATCTTTGATGCTTTGGTCTGACTCGACACATCTCACAAATTTTGGTGACACATCAATGTGGCCATTTTACCCTTTTGTTGATAATCACTCCAAATACACTCAAGGAAAACCGACAGCAAATACCTGTTATTATATGGCATATATTCCAAATGCAAGTTAATATCTATTTTACCACATTTTTTCCTATTGATCTGCACCACATATAGCTACCTGACAATTTCCAAGGTCAATATACAAAGAGCCATGGTGAACCAGCAACTAAAGAAACTTACACTCACTGCAAATGTGAGCTGTTCCAAGCAGTGTGGGCACTTTTGTTGGACGCAAAATTCATGGATGCATACTGTAATGGAATCATCATCCAATGTGCAGATGGTATTGTTCATAAAGTCTTCCCTAGGTTTTTTAGCTACTCGGCCGATTATCCTGAGAAGTAAGGTTTGCTATCAAGATCAAAAACCATACTAATCATCTTTTTAGGGTGCTCCTTGCAGGCATCAAGTTTCTCGGAAAATGTCCTTGTCCTAGGTGTTTGGTCAAGAAACAAGATTTAGCAAAGATGGGGATGAAGCGGGATATGAGACAACGTGTGAAAAAGATACGGGTTGACAATGAAGATCACTGGAGACGCATTAAATTTGCATGGCAGTTGATGTTTGAAAAGGGGGTGTCAGTTGGCGGAAAGAGAGTGAATGCACAGCTAGATAAGTGGTCATATGTGTCTACCAACTATTCAAGCCCTCAATGAACGGTAGGTAACAGAATCACTATCAGTTACAATGTGTAATAATTGGAACATGCTTAGTTATTGTGCTGTGTCAACATTTGGACATGGAACAATTCGGAAATTTAACAAGAATGTGTCAGCTATGAAGAGGCTTGCTGCTCGTGATTTTGAAGATTTATTGCAGGTAAGAGATTTTTAAATTTGGTGGTGCTACCTATGACACTCCTCTAGTGTGCCATTCCAAAAATCTCCTTTCAGCACCCCATAATGCACATATCCTCAACCTTTTATTTGACCTGGTAACCTGGCATGCATATGCAAAACTTCATTTGCATACTTCGGATACACTCAATTTATTTGACTTGGCCACAATCTTGCTGAGTCAATCAATGCGGAAATTCATCAAGGTTACTTGCAGCTACTATGATACAAAGGAGCTTCCTCAAGAGACAAGCATCAGGAACCGTTGTGTGGCTGCATTAGCTTCAAAACAGGATACAGCACCAACCAGGGATGGGTCATCTGGATCAAAACAAAAAAAATTAAACCTTACAACTTACAAATACCATGCCCTCGCAGATTATCCAAATACAATTCGGCAAAAGGGTACTACAGACAACTACAACACTCAGACGGTAAAATCAGGCTATTGAATATTTTCTGTGGCTAACCTTCTATTAGGGAGAGTTACAGCATCGATACCTAAAACGACACTATCCAAGGACTTCAAAAAATATTAAAAAAACTACCACAGCTTCTATGAGTAAGCTTGAGTCAAGAGGGCAGCTTGTGAGTAGGATCATTGATAGTTTGGCTGTCAGCAAGGCTCTGGACACCACAGACAAGGCTAACAAACAGAAAAAACGACTATGTACTTCTCCCTCTGACCACTATCACATTGCAAAATCTTCACGAAGGCCTGTGGATCTCACATCTTGGTTGAGTTCACTTTCAGGTGACCCAGCTATAACAGTAAGTTGTTGTTAACTGAAAGGATTCTAATAACTAACTGTGGCATTTGTTGCACAGGACTTTGTACCCAAGCTGAAGGACCACATACTTGCAAGGTTACAAGGGCTTCAGTATACAGGCGACCCACCCATTTTTACAGATCAAGACCGAGATTCCATTGTTTTTTCTAGCAATATAATGTTTAAACACAGTGTCCTACGGGTAAACTACACGACTTATGATCTGCGTTGAGAACAAGACTCTATCAATCCACACACTCGAGCCAACGCCATTGTTTTGTCTCACAAAACTGATGAAAATCAACACCCATATTGGTATGCTCATGTGATCCGCATATTTCACTTGATGGTATGTGATTACAGTGTTGGCTCAAATTTTGGTGAACCCCAACGGATGGATGTCCTATTTGTGCATTGGTTTGGACGGGACACAACAAGAGCAGTAGGCGTTTCTGCACGTCAACTCTACCAAGTCAGATTTTTAGCGAATGATGACACAGAGTCATTCAATTTTTTGGACCCAAACCACGTCATCCAAGGGGTCCATTTGATTCCAGCATTCGCATATGGACACACAGATGAATACTTGGGACCCTCCTTTGTCCACTCTGAGGAAGATTCAGATTTAGACTGGCTGGAACAACCAAGAGTTAGTTACTCTGGCGCACACAAGAACACATTATAAAGGTAGTGATGAGGGAGTGGCTACCCCTTAAGCTGCAGAGAGTTTGTTGGTATACAACAGGAGGACTCGCTGAGGAGTCTCCTTGATCTATTGGTGTATTTATACTAATACAGAGTGTTTGTACCTATATACTGTACAGTTGATAAAAGCAGTGGCTGATGATGTCAGAGGGCGCAGCCCGTGTGACCAGCTCCACTGCATGAGAGAGTTTGTGTCTAAAAGAAGAATAAAGGCAGCACTGCGCGAGAAGGTGGAGTTAGAACGAAAAGGAAAGTGCCGCATGGCACGGAGTGTGAACTATAGTAACAAGGTTAAAGCGGAGAATGAAAATTAAAGGAAAGGTCCGAACATTGTGTTATCATAACACTGGCGGTATTTTGACGTGAACATGTGAGCATGGTCAAATTTTCTTTGAGTAATGCTATCTACTAAATATGTACATAGGTTTGTCGATTGGGACATGTTCATGCATTTCCGAGGAGGTGGGTTGGGACATGAAGTGCCGAGAGAGTGGGACAGCTATCTACAATCAGACTGTCAAGCTGTGCAGGAAGAGAACGAGACCTTTGATGTTGAGAAAGAGGAAGGAGACGAACGTGGAATTGAAAGCAATGGTAGTGAGGAGGAGGAGGAGGAAGAGGGAGAAGAGTGAGAAGAAGAGGAGAGAGATAATGAGAATGACAACAATAGAGTGGTACAGGACAAGGGAGAAGAGCTGGATGACGAAATATACGAGAGGGAAAGCTATGGTGCACTCTAACAAAGGCACCAAATTTATTTTGCATACAATGATGTATTTTTGACGGGGTGGGGCATCCCTTTTACTGTATAGCTATTTATAATATATACGGACACTAGCAAACCAATGTTTAGATATACTAGCAGTTGTTTCGAAGATACACACAATGTTCCAATATCACTTCGACATTGCTCATGCTCGCTGCTATCTGTTGTCCCCTACTAACGCTCGCTGTATGACCGACCATCATCAGCACTTACATATGTCATACTGACGCTCATCATATGCTGAGTCAGCCAACGTGTCTGTTGTACTATGTCATGGTTCTGCAATTTTGGTGATGCACTACTATCGTTGGACAATAGGTGCAATTGGTCTGGGGAGAAGTTGAATAACTCACCAGTCGTTGAGCTTTAGACTGTCGGAACTTGACCAGTAGATATAATTTTTAGTTTTCTAGCTGCCTATGTAGAAAAATAAGCAAGAACTTGAAGCATTGGAGCAGCGGAACAAAACCGAAAAGACGACACATGTTTTGGAATGGTTCTGCAATTTCTGGTCACACTGGGTCACAGCGGCACTCACAGACCAAATCAGGCGGAGCTTACAAGTTAAATTCCGCCAGCTCACACCAAGTCCTGACGCTGGTGGTATGTGCGGTACGTACCGAAGCGGAGCTAGCGGTCCTTGATTGATTATCTTGGTGTGTGATTGCCTGTTTCGGTCGCCTAGTCACGACTCCATCATTGTTTTCGTTTCTCCAGACGCTTTAAGGCCCCAATCAGCTCAGTAAGTATCTGGCATTGTAGGGGCCTACCTATTGACGTTTTCTAGAAAGATATCGCAATATTCCCAGCACGAGATCTGGTCAAATCTGGCCATCTTTCCCTCAAAATTCACACTTCTGGAGTTCAAGAGCATAGTGTCAGGTCTGTCGTTGTTGTTACAGATAAGCTATTCACTAAATTCTTTCACAATTATATTCTCTATACTATATTCTACATCTGACAATTTTCTAGCTACCTGTACAGTGATCGTTGAGCCTCTGGAGGCCCAAGTGCATATCTCTTACCGGTTGCATCCGGTGTCCAACGATAGTATCTTGCAAACGCGCTCGTTTTGAAACGGAGGCTGCCGAACGGGCCCAAAGTTTACTGTTTTCAAAGGTTTCTTTTCGCTGGTGATAGGACGCTTGTTCAGTGACCAATATAAGTGTATCAGTGTATTCTATGACTTCATCAAAGATTACCAATGCAACTTCTTTGGATCTTCTATGTATTATTCTTCCCTAATTCTTCTAATATGCCGACGAACTCTCCTGGATCCAGAATCTCTGTACCACCGTATGTCACCCTTTTCCCTGCCTTTTCAGCCCATTCTGCTAAATTACCATACTCTACGTATCCTGCGCCGCCGATAACAAAGACCACGCCTTCAGAGTATGCCATACGTTTCGCTCGACTCGAACCGTCCGGTCCACCGGACATTCCATCATTAGCGTGTCGTGGCGCACGCGGATCAAGGAAAATATATTCATCAGTTTCTTGCAGAGATTGATTGGATGCCGACGAAGAATCCATTAAAGCCTCAGTCACTCTCGTGACAGGGAATAGCTTATTGGCAGGCAAAAAGTTCTTCACTCCTGATATAAGGTTCTCTAGGCCTCCTTCTTTCAGACGGTCAGTGAGCTATCTAGCAGTGTCAGGACATACATTATGTTACTGAAAGATATTGCCCACCCTGTTTCCGAGAGCACTGAATCCTCTGAATAACTCTCCTTGCCCTCCTCCCAGCACGGGTGTCGAGGCGCCACCCGTGGTCGCTGACATGGTCATGCGAGAAATTTCCCTAGTTCGTCTGACGTATTCAAATGCAGCAACATCAGCTCCGGCACCTTTCAATTCTTTTTCAAGTTCAGTGATGTCGTCCTTGGAGATGGTACCGTGTGAAGACAGGTAGAATACCAAAACAAGACGTAGTTTATCTTGGGGAGCCGGGGCACCATCTGGACGTTTGGCGCGCAATAGCTCGAGGATTGACGCAACATTCTAGATGGAGTTGTCAGCGTTTGATATCAAATACTATCCCGAGTTCGCCTTACTTGCTTGTTGATAGCTTCCTCTACACTGAAAAGCTCATCTAGACCTCTGCTTTTAATCTGCTCTAACAAGGCAGTGGCGATATTCATATGAGTATCGAGAGTCGCTTTCCGTGCCGTCAACTCTGGTAACTGCGTGATGGCGGTCTTTAGGTGAGCAGCGTTGTTTGAAACATCCCTGTAAGAAGGTTAAGAGAACATCACTTCAAATAAGTTGATTTCTTTACAACTGTGAAATATCGTTGACATCACTGATACCCGTTGAGCGGGTAATCTCGGCGGCGTCCTGCTTGTATTTGTTCAACTCGGTGTCGATTTCCTCCGCAACTTGTGGAAATGGATTGGCCGCATTTCTGGACCAAAAGAAATCCCTAGAGTCGAGATCGTAAGATCGTTTCTGAGGTTGAGCGATAATTACTCGATTCAGCTTTATCCCGAGGCAATCAGAAACGAGGGCCTGGTAGGTCCACCCGTGCGAAACCATCGATACCAGATCAACATTTCTGTCCAGGATAAGAAGAACTGTTCACAGAAAGCACAGAGATCAACTAAACTGAGATGAGAAATCAGACTGTGCCTCACGTGGTCGTTGTAGACTCGATAACGCAGTTGCATCTTGAGAGAATAATGAATTTGTCGAGTGCGAACGGGAAGCCATGAGAATAGCGTCTCGAATTTTCTGTTCAACCTTCTTTGCAACCATCTCTGCTGCATTTCCCTTTGGCGCACGAATTATTGGCACATGACCTGAGCATTAATTTGTCATTAGAACTAAGTGTAAGGCAGGAACAAAGTTTGAACAAAGTCCTTACCCAGTGTGACAACAGCACTGAAAAGACCACTTGCAATTCTTTCAGTCTCTTCCTCGATCTGCTGTTCCGTAGATAATGGAGAGTTGAGATATTTGTAAGAAGAATGAAGTTTAGGTGGAGGATGGGAAGACCCCAAGTTATTTGGAGAAGCCCGTGGAAAAGGTGACAAAAGGGAAAATAACGATGGAGACGGTGCGACGAAGGATAGGTATTGATCCAAGACCTATTTCCATGTTTTTATTAGGCCTTAAAGCTACGAAATTTGACATCAAGCTTACTCGTTCTACTAAATCACCGGTACCTTCTCTCGCAACCATAACAGCAAGTTCTTCCAAGCGTGCCCGGGGAAGAGGCTCCACAAAATTGAGATAGAATGATTCATATAAACACTTCCCGATATCTTCTGCTATCCTTTGAACATTGTCAAGAGTTGGGGAAACGAAATAAATAGCAGGGACATCGGGAAATGGTGGGCGCTGCGAGTGTAGTTGACTGAAAATGTAAAGACATCAAATGCTACGCTCGTCGAAGCACAGGGATGGTTCACATACATATGTAGAGTGACGCCAACATCACGCAAGTCCTGAACCCGCAGCACAGTTGCAAGCACATCCTTCGTTTGCTGGTCTAGAACCAATACCTTCCATACTGGAAGCCCAGATGACGGCAACTTCAAGCCTGCGACTGCGTTCTCAGACAATTGTGGACCGTCAATTGTGGGATCAGTCAAGTTACTGAGATTGAGTAAGGAAAGTAAAGCAGTTGTCTGCATTTGCTGTAATGTGGGTGGATTCATACTCTAGTGTACAAAATTAGTACTGTGAGTGATAGGAAGTACAGTGAAAACCCACATATTTTACACCAACACTCGTCATCCTGTACAATAATTACCTGGGTTGCTAACTATTCTCGGTGATAACAATTATCGTTGTGGGATACGTTCCCTATAAACAAGGGACTCAGAATTACACAAACACACACTATATGTATACTGTGCGAAAAGATTGTGTGAGCGGTCATAATGCTGACCGATCATAATGCTGACCGCATTCCATCTCAAATCCAAAAGAAAAAGAAAACTCCAGCCAAATACCCAACCAGTGCTAGCTTGTAAAGTTCCTTAGCATCGACTACTGCAACCTGGTTCTGTCAGAACCATGACCTTTTGGAGTGTCAGAGTTACGGAGTACGGAGATGGAGTAGGGGGTAATGGAGTATGAGATGGGGAATTGGCTTAGCTCGTGCACTAGGCCCTTCCATGGACCTGGGTCCCTAACTTGACGGAATGGACAGAGGAGAGTAGAGGATGAAAAGGGAGCAGAGTAAAGATCCTTTGGAGAAGGATCAGAAGACTTATAAAGAGACTTGTAAAAAGGCAAGGAAATCTAGTTGATATTTGAACTGCAGGAACGGAGTACAGGAGCTACAATGTATATACTGTCAGAGGAGTAGGGGCCCGTAAGGAATAACTTGTAATGTAGGTACAGAGTTTCATGCGGCCAATTGTCTAGTGAGAGAGATATGTATGTGTATCATAAGGTCTAAACTACAGAGTCCATGAGGAGTATAAAAATGTGTGCAGGAAAGCATATGGCGGACTAGAAGTCTGGTGCAGGAGTATTGGAACAGGAGTCCAGAGTACCATGTGGGGGTGGGGCACGGGGCTATGCCAACTGGCAGGCCATGAGGAGTGTAATCCCGAGAATACCAAAGATTTGGGAGGTTCAGACTTGAGGAAATATCTTCTTTGGAGATGCCGGAGTCCTGTTCTACAATACGGATATGACAGCTTCACAGCGCCATATACCACAAAGATCTGTATTTGTTGTTGCAATATCCCTGAATACCTTCAAGCTTTGGAGTCAACTCAATATTTCATGCCAGTGAGATACAGTTGAATTGCTCATAATGCATGTCATCATAATGCATAAATCTTGTACTGCATTAACTCACATATAATTTTTGTAAGTCCCACAATGGAATGCAGGAAAAATGCAAAATCTTTGTATAATGTATAATGTATCAGCCTGTGTGGTCAGTATGCATTATGAGACACCATTTTGGGCTGTCGGGACTAAGCTGAGATACTCAAAGTGCATTGTTCAAGTGGAATATAAAATGTCTATGATGCAAAATTATTCAATTAATGACCTAACTTTACAATGCCTGCTGACCTAAAGCGCAAACCACAAGACAAACCCTCTTCTCGAAAGAACCTCACACTTGGTGATTGGATGTTGATATTTGCTTACATCGATTCCCATCTGACCTCACCATAAAGTGCAATTGTCGAGCATTTCAATACCCTGTCATCAGGGGCTCTTATTTTCAATCAGTCAAACCTATCTTGGAAGCTTTATGACCGGCAGAAATTGGAAACTCACATCAATGACAACCCAACAGCATTTGTGACCAGGTGAGATGTTGAGTGTACACTCTTTTTGTGGGTTCAGCAGATAGAGAGCAAAGGGGAAATAGTGTTGGGACCTATGCTTTGTGAGAAACAAGGCCAGTTTGAGAAGCAATTTGATATGCCAGAGAATGAAAGGCTACCTGGGGATGGATGGGTGGCATCATTCTGTAAAGCATACCTACAGTGACTACAAAAACCATTGCAATGTTTGGCCTAAATGTGGTGCGCAAAGCTCACTGCCAACAGGCGTGGAAATTTTGCTTAGCTTTTGTGGGGTTCCTGGGTCATGTGATTTGGCCCAGCGGCTATGAAGATATGTCCATTTTAAAACAACAATACCATTGCAACAGTTTGTTTTCACTTTTGGTATCAAAGGAGATATTTAGGGAATATCAGTACTTGGTATAGCCTCCTTTTGCCTTGAGCACTGCCTGAATCCTTCTATCTAAATTATTAAATGATTTATAAAATCTGTTTTCAAATCTTCTCCCACTCCACTTGAATCCTCGCCCACAACTCCTCTATCCCATTAGGAGGGTGTTTATACTCTACAAGCCTCCTCTTGAGACAACCCCACCCATGTTCCTTAGGATTAAGGTCAGGAGACTGTGCAGGCCACACCATAGTTTTAAACTCCTGCTCATCTAGCCACTCCTCAACCTTTTTGCGGGTATGCTTGGTGTCATTGCCTTGCTGAAAGATGATGTCAGGAGAATTGAGACCATAATAGTGCAGGGTGTTCAGCAGCTCATCCTTCAAATTCTGGAGGTAAAGGTCCCCATACATCCTACCATCAACTCTAGCAGCATATCCAACCCCCTCCCAAGTCATACAGCCCCAGATTATCATGGAACCTCCTCCAAACTTGACAGTTCCCTATACCAATCTATCACTGAGCCCCTCACCTGGCTTTTTCCACACACATTTGGGTCTATCTTACCCCAGGCAATTGATTTTGATCTCACCATACCATACAACCTTCTTCCAACAGTCCAGTTCTTGTGAGTATGAGCAAAGTCCAACCTAGCCTTATGATGCTTGGCAGAAAAAAAAGGGTGTTTTTGCTTGACCGCAGCCTTTATGCCAACCTTTTTCAAGTGCTGGTGGACAGTGTTTGGGGAGAAGGGTTGGTTGATGATGTTGGTAAGAGTTTTGGTGATTTGGACAGCATTTTCTGTCTTATGAGTGGAGATGAGATGCATGGCATGGCGGGCATTAGCAGGAGAAAGCTTAGATGGACAACCTCCAACAGACTTTTGGAGCTCAGAACACTCCTTGGAGCAAAGTCTAGAGATGGTAGAGACATAGACACCAGTGGTAGAGGCAATAGAGTGAGCACTTTGACCTGCATCAAGGAGGTCAAGAATCCGGTTCTTCTGAACAGGAGAGAGGGATTTCATGATGATGGTGATTGAGAATAAAGAAGTGTGTGGAACTTTTATAAACTCAGACACACTGTTTATATGTGTATATTTGTTTGTAGGACCAATAAAGCCAAATATTCTATGATATCATTGTGATCTCTGCTTCCAACTCAAATGTGAAAAAACTGTTGCAATGGTATTGCTGTTTTGAAATGGACATATTTTCACAGCTACTGGGCCAAATCACATGATCCAAGAACCATTTTATAGCCAGGGCCAGGTACTTTTGTTGATCCCATGGGGGCTAGGTGAAATTTCCACGCCTGTTGGCAGTGCACTTTGTGCACTGCGTTTAGGCCAAATATTGCAACAGTTTTTGGAGTCACTGTAATTTGAGAGCATAAAAGACACAGAGAGGCTGGTTCTGTTGATTCAGATGCAGTTGAAGCAGAGTGTGTCTGATGTCAACAAATCTTAGCTAAAATTGTGCCAAGAGATTGTTTCAACTTCAATGAGACTGGCTTCTTTCCTTGGTAAGTCTCACAGCCTCTCTGGATTTTGCAGACCACTCACTATAAACCCACAGCTCACCCCCAGATAGAGGTTTTGTGACTAAGCAGATGAGTGGCAAAAAAAAGGATAAATTCTGCATCACAATTAGCCTTTCATGCAATGCAGGTGGCAGCGAGAAACTTGAGCCCATTTATATTGGGAAATCCAGGAAGCCCCGTTGTTTCAAGAATCAAACCCCTGCACAGCAAGGATTTTATTACCGGAATAATAAGACAGCAGCATGACATCTGAGCTATTTGAGGAGCAAGTTTTCTCCTCTTGTCTTGATATAGACCTGATGTAGACTGTTTGTTCGGATGGATAAAGAAATTTGACCTTAATATAAAGCAGAAAAAATGATATGTTTGTCTAATCATCGACAATTTCTATGGTCACATGATTGCTTATGAACCAACAAACATTCAAATGAAGTTTTTTGAACCAAATCTAACACCTGTTGTGTAGCCTTGTGATGCTGGCATTATATGCTGCTTTAAAGCAATTTACCACCGCAAATTTTGCATGCGTGTGATTGATCTTGATGAAGCTGGCGAGTGGGATATCTACAAGATAGACCTGCTTGAAGCAATGTTAATGTCAAAGTTAGCTTGGAATGATGTGTCATCTGACACTATCAAACACTGTTGGGATCACACTAAAATTTAGCTGTAAGTTATTTAGTCAGTTCACAATGTTTTAAGATGGCCCAAATTTCACGCAGCCACTGCCAAGTTCACATCCACCTCACGCTGACCCTCTGGGGTGGTAGATTGTGTGAGATTTCACAAACACAGAGATGAGACTGCTAGAAGCAGAGATTTGTTTGAAGACCCATTTCCAGGATTATTATGTTGATGCTGATTAGAGACCAGCACTTGACACTGTCTTAGCCGCTGAGGGGGTGTTACAACCAAGAGTTTGTATACTCTGGCGCACAGCTCAGACAAAGCTATAAAGAAGTGAGGGGAGTGGTTACCCTTTAGATAGGACTGAGTTTGTTGTGGGTAAACAACAGGAGGACTCGCTGAGGAGTCTCCTGGATCTATTGGGTATTTATACTACTACAGTTTGTTTGTACATGTGTACTATACAGTTGATGGAAGCAGTGGCTGATGATGTCATAGGGTACAGCCCGTGTGACCAGCTCCACTGCGTGAGATACTTGTAGCCAAAAAAATAAAGAAACGCAGCGCAGCGCGAGAAGGTGGAATTTGAACAAAAGGAAAGTGCTGTCTGGCACAGTGTGTGAAAACTTCAGAAGAAAGTTAAAGAGGAGAATGAAATTTAAAGGTCTGGAAATTGTTTATTGTAACAGGGGGATGTTGCAATAGCCGTGAGGGCTGTGGAGCCTCTTGCAGAGGCCATTTTTTGTCAAACCAGCCTCAAGAAAAGGGTTCCTGTTACAAAACCCCTACATCAATTAACCAGTGCTGAAAATGAGCTGATGGCATCTGTCAATGATTTCCATGTGCATAACTGGATTTTTGGGAAGCTGTTATCACTTGAGGAGATCCTTGACCCTGCCGAGGAGAAGGAGATTGGTGAGGTGACAGATATTAAAGATGAAGAAGAAGCGGGTCTGACATTCACTTGCAAAGGTCATCAGCAACACAGCATATTCATTAGATACCACTACACAGGCTGATATGATCGTGTAAAAATAAAACCAATTTGTAAATCTATAAAATGACATGTGAGCTGACCCAAAGAGCAACACCCAGTATATTTTCGAGTCAAGATGATGGGCTACATGAAAGTACACTTCCAGTAGATCATTTGGTGAGAAGACCTTGTAATTCCATCTAGGTTAATACAATATTGTATCAGTATTATAATGATATTGGCATAACCTCTACCATATAACATGGATTTCAAGATCATTCCAAAATTCCAACCTAATGCTAGTTCAACCAAAATATTATATTCTCCTGAATAATAAAATATAGAACTTCCCATTGATTCCAGTCCAACACAGAGTATTATAAAAATCCTATGGCATGCCAACTAAGTACACCTTAGAATTTGCTCAGAATAATACGTAATCACGGCCAACATGCGGACATTGTAGAAATTTGCGTGGCGCTTAGGAACTGGAATTGAATTCCACTTTGCACACTTTCCAGTCCAAAAGTCTAAGTGTATTTCAACTTGGAATGGTGTTATGTGCTCAGTTTATTATTTTAAATTTTTTATAACCAGCTGGCGTGCATGCAGGTGAGTTCATAGTGATCAGAAAAGATTATACTTGCATTATAAAGCTCTGACAATGTTAGTAGATAATGATGTGTTTACTGCCATGGTGGACATTTTTTCTACCTAACAGGTTAAGGTATTATGTAAGTGAGAATTATTACTATTCATGTCCAAAGTCAACTAATTTGGGTATTCTTCTATCTAGATGATATCTTATTCCAGAGTGATACCATATCTACAATTGCAAATAGTGGACCGACCCTGACACTGAACAACCAACACCACGTGCAGGGTGACAATGACGTAGTTATGCTAGAGGCTAATTCAGAGATGCCAAATTTGGTATGGGGTAAGCACTTGGCATTGCTTCTGAGTTTAACACTGAAATCCCCCTTTGTTGTGTTTTCCCTTTACCATGACAGCTATGCTAGACAAAATTACAACCAGTACCAGCTCAAAACAGTCCAATATATCCCCCTCAAGTGTGTTGGTACGTAGCAGATTACAGTTGCCTAGCTATATTTGATTTTTTGATGTCTTTAGATTCTATACACTATCTAGATAATGATGTGTACTGCCTGTGATGTGTAACAGAGTGTTTCTTCCTCTTGCACTATCTCACAATGTTTATTTATGGTTATCTAGATCAGCTTGACATGGACAAATACGTTGTATTGCTTACCCTGAAAAAAATATCAAAGAGGGATTGTAGAGGTAATTAACTGATGATTTAAAATAAAAAATTATGCTTACAAGTTGCCATTCACCTGCAAAAAGATGCCACAGCATTTTTGAAATTTGCAGTAAGTACTAGTAGTTCTGTCTTTATGTGTGTCGGGAATTAACAAGTACATGCAGAATAGACCGCCACTCGCGTAGCTATATTCTGAAGAAGTAATGAGGATTAGGAACAAGGCCAACTACAAGACCCATTTTGGCTTGGATGACCCAGCTCTTGATCTTGAAAGACTTGTGGCAAAGGCTAGGTGCATGTGTTTTCCAGAACTTACATAGGCAGAGACACTCATACCCAAGTTGAGGGCTGCTTGCTAAATGACACACAAGGGCGATATTGTGATTTTTGGACACTATTTCAGCAATTTTTGTCTCTATGTTTATGTTTTTGATACCTTCGATCTACATACAATGTTGTAGCTAAAGCATGCCAATCACAATGCTGTTATAGCTATCACCACCTATGTTTTGGGAAACATGTGTAGATCAATATTGAGACATTCATACATCAATTTTACAACAATACCTTAGGTTCAAGGATTGCACGAACAACATCTAACCAGTGTGTACAAGAAACGAGATTATTGTGCAACTAATGGACACAAGACACATCACCTTGCATGCCAGGGAATGCTCCTGCACAAAGACTCTCCCACTTTTAAGTGTTATATGTATGTTTGTTCTGTGGAAGAATGAGTCTACTAGTGAACATTTATGCTTTCCTCACCCACTGAGCAAGATGTTCTATTGAGGTCCCATACCCATTTTTTGTCCTTACTCACTGACATCCCTTTCCTTTGTCAAAAAGTAAACATTTTTGCTTAAGTATACATCAGCATTTTTGTTTTTGCTTGTATTCTTTCGCTACAACATGACAACCACATTAATACTGTCATTGTAACATTTTTTTGCTTTTGAATCCTTTCCTAATGACTTCAATGATTTTTTTACTACTTTATAATTGCTCACTTGTCTGCAATTCTGTATCCAATGCTAATGCTAGTTTGTTTTTTCAAAATTCTCATATTAATTGAGCATGAAAGAATTGGCAGATCAGTATGTTACTGTCGTACAATGCACACATGATAAGGCCACCATGTATGGTATAGTGAATTACCCCAGGCTGTAATCCGGACACCCCCGCTGGGCTGGCATCCCTGGTATTCAACTTCAAGTTTTAGTTGTTCAATGGGTCCAATTATAGTACCAGCTTCGGAGTTATAAATGGTAAGAGGGTCACTTATATGTTACAAGCAACTAAATTGCTACAGTATTACAGTATTATAGAAGGTGAAAATCCAAGTCAAGGTTCTCCCAGATTACTTCCCTAATTTGAGTCCATTGGACTGTGTTCCTTGCTGCACAAGCTGTGAAATACTTCTCTGTTACCCGTTTCGCATCCATGAGCGCCTGCAGGCCACATATTGAATCAATTAAGTAACACCATAACAAACCAGAACTTGCCATATTGCACATAATTCCAACGGTCCTGTCTTTGACAGTTTGGCATTGGGGCATGTTCTTGTCTTTGTTGGATGGGCTGTGCTTGCATGGACATACCGAGTAGTTGTCTGATTTGAAGACTTGTTCAAGCCATATAGAATTAAGTTTTTCCCTGACATTGACCAAAATTACTACGTCCACCTCATCCAACTTAATCACAGTGTCAAAATCCAAGCTGCCAGGATGAAGAAGGCTTAATCTATTTGTCCTCACAATCTCGTATAATGCCCTCTTTAACGCCCAAGGTAAATCCCAGTTTCTCCCTAGTTTAACCATTTCACATGCCCATGGAAGGTGTTCTTCATTCATCGCACAGAGGTTTTCACTCCAGTGACCTTTGAGGAGTTTTGCAGCCCATTCACAATATGCGGAGAAGGAAAGTGCAGTTGGTGCTTGTGTTGTTGCTTCAACCTCAGCAGCTTTCCCATCCCATGCATCAGCGACATTCCCTTAATTTCCAATAGTAGGCTCCTCCAAGTCACAGACTGAGCGGGTCAAATTACCGATGGTGACGTGCAACTCCTCATCAGAAAACAGCCTTGTAAAGTACTCTAACCTTTTGACAAGCATAGAACAATAGACTCGAAACAGAGTATTGTCAATCCTGATGACAATTAGACATTTGTCAGTTTCCCATAGGGAGGGATGCCTCATTGTTCTCACATTCAAGCTGGACAATGTACATCAAACCTGTTCCTTTTTACGAGTAAAGCATGGTGGCAGGGCTATAGCTTTTGTTAGCTGGCATTTGCTACCTGTAGCGTGAACAGGGATCAGCACTATATCAACCTGTGTCAGCCTCGAAGGGGCAGTCTCAAAAGCAAGTACACATTTAGTCATAGTAGCAGGTCACCGGGAGTGGTATTGGTATGCCAACATTTATGTAGTGATCTTGTTTGTACGCATTAGGCATACTTTTTCCACTTAACACTCCGGCAATACTGCAGCTACTTAACATTGCTGCTACACAAAATATAGTAGTTTGAACTTGAGGTGCAGGTTCCAGATTTCAGGCAGACTCATTAAGATGTGTATCACTATTCCCATAGCTTGGGCTCAAATGACATGCCTGGGATATGCCCTTATCCATAAGTCACAACAGCAACTACACAACGGGACAAAAAGCCTGTGATAAAAGAAAGCATTGTGTAGATATCCCTTATCAGAGTACCACACTGCATCTAGTACAACCAGACACACAGAGCATTAACTCACCAAAAATGACACTTATAGCAGCTCATGGCTGCACAAAATCTTGAACCTTGTTGGCTGATAGGTGTGTCATAGTTCCTGTGGATGGGCATGCTAACACCTGCTCAGGTTAGTCCTTATTCTGAGTTGCTATTTGAACACTTAGGTATAGAAATTGGGACATACCGGGATGCGGCGACCAACAGCCAATAATTTGGTGGATGTACACATTCAAATTTGATGAGTTGAATCAGCCCATACTGGTCATCAGCACTCAGAACAACAACTGGGATGACCATTAGGGACTTACAAATATGTAAACCCACACCACACACAGAGAAAGTTATTCTTGACTCCATTTACAATCTGATTCAAGTGCCACTTGAGTACTTGAAATGGCTGGAGCCCCGACCTGAACAAACTGAAAGGCTGAGGGTTTTGACCCCCAAAATAATAGCATGTTTGCTAGGTGAGTATGAGCTACTGTAGATAGGGAGTGCAAAGGAAGGGGGGAAGATTAGAGCGCAAGTCTCATGATAGCTAGAAATGCACCCGGCATAGGCAGATATTTTTGCATTATACCATAGTCAAAGCCCCACAACCCACGAGCATCATCACCACTGTCATGGCTCTGTATGTTACGATAACACAATTTTCGGACCTTTCCTTTGATTTTCATTCTCCGCTTTAACCTTGTTACTATAGTTCACACTCCGTGCCATGCGGCACTTTCCTTTTCGTTCTAACTCCACCTTCTCGCGCAGTGCTGCCTTTATTCTTCTTTTAAACACAAACTCTCTCATGCAGTGGAGCTGGTCACACGGGCTGCACCCTCTGACATCATCAGCCACTACTTTTATCAACTGTACAGTACATAGGTACAAACACTCTGTATTAGTATATATACCCCAATAGATCAAAGAGACTCCTCAGCGAGTCCTCCTGTTGTTAACCAACAAACTCTCTACAGCCTAAGGGGTAACTACTCCCCATTCACTACCCTTATAGTGGGTTTTTGTGTGCACCAGAGTAACTAACTCTTGGCTGTTACACTGTACTTTGACAATGATTATACAGGATGGAATTATAACAGAGAACACTTCCCAAAATCATCAAATATAACTACATTATCACTACGCATCTCGCCTCCTGGTTCCCCGTCTTGCTGTGAGCAATGTTTGATAATGGGAAGTGGCAGCATTTACTCTCCTAATTCTATTTCCCCCAAGCCATTGCCTTTTGCGATATCAAGTTTAAATTAGCCCTTTAGATCTCAGCTTCAAATTTTACTACTAGTTCTATCCCTAGTCTTGCACTTGAGTCTCAGCTTGAAACAATAGTGCCAATCCCCCATCTTACAATGAAGACAAATGAGGTGGCTCTGCCTATTGATCAAGCCTACCTGAAGCCAGAAGAGGTGGTGATGCAAGATGCTTTGACTTACTTTTCAAAGTGAAACAGTACAACTCCCGGAGAGGTACAGATTAATCTTGAATAAGTGAATTTCTTCCTGAAGGCCTGATGTTTGGCAATTCAGATTTCTTTTTGTAATATCAAGTACAAGCAGGTAAACCGGATCATGGATGAATTGTCAAAAACATTTTCTGTACCACGTTTCAGGTGATATCAGTCCAATCTAGTCAAAGTAAAGGGCTCACAATATGTTTTAGATACTACTGAGATAAAACAACTAAAACCTTTATCATGCTTGCTAATTTGTCTGCTGTTCATGAAGAACCCACAAAATATGTCCAACAGATGTTTGAGATTTTGCAAATACAATTTTATCAAGCCTTGAACATGGAATTATAACAATGGTAGCAAAATATAGATGCAATTACATGGCAAATAGATTCACAACCCAGATGCAACTGAATCATGTAAATTTGTGCTCAAGGTACACCCTGGAGTGTCCCCTTCCAAACTTGGGAGTCACGTGGCGGATATTGTATTGATAACATGAAAATAATATGCAGCCTTCTTCTGCCTCACTTGAATCTCTTTAAACTGCCCCTCTATAAGCTGCAATGCCCGCTTTCTATTCTGCAGTTTTTTTTCCATATGGTTTGCCTTGACACCAACAGTATCTACAATAGCTCATGCAATTTTGCATGCTTGCGTGATATCCCAATAGTTCACAATAGTAGAGGGTCACCACACTCCAGCTGAACAATCTGAATTGTTAGTAAGCTCTAACATAATGTATGTAGGTTGTACAAACTATACCACAGTATGTACAAGTTTTAACAAGTCAGAAAGCTTCAGTGCTGTATAATTGCTTGAAGGCAATGATTTGGAGAACTGAGAAACTATCTGGCAAAATTGGGCAAGTGGGTAGGCATAGTTGAAGAAGCCATGGCATACTTTGCCCGTGACTCGGAAGGTCAAAATTCAAGTTGTCAGTATTTCAAGTGCTGAAGGTTACACTAAGGCTTATATAGAAATCCAAGTCTGGGACACTTTTTGTGAAAATCTAAGTGTCCCACGATTTACTTGTGCTTTCAATTGTGACATGACATAGTACTACCAGTATAGTGCAGATTTTGGCTTGCCAGCAACTTGAGGCTCAACACTCAGTTCTTGCAGATCTCCAGATATGAGCCAAGTGCCTAGAAAAAGGCGAGGAAACATTTATGTTCTATTAATTATCATTGTGCTGATGACAATCACATGTGGTGGCCGTTGCAAGCTCTTCTTTGCTGATCAACGTGGTTTAAGTTGTCACCAATCTAGTTGTGATGTGTATCAATGTAAGCAAGCAATTGCACTACATCATCGGCAAAAATGAGCCAAAGAGGATGCCAAAAAAATAATGCCAAGAGAAATTTGACTCAGAAAAAATTGTCTCTGGGGCTTGCTAGTCAGGAAGGGAATATATCTTCGAGTTTGACTCAGGTACTGTATATAATCCTTTCTTGTGTCTTATTTTGTTTAACTGACTATGGGAAATCAGCCTCACTTCTTTGGCAAAGACGGCGGTTTGATATTAGGGCAAGGACAGATGATGGATTTAGATGGGCCTATATGCCCGGACCAGGAAGGCATATCTGTCAATATTTCTCCTAATATATTCTCTGACAATTTGACTCAAAACAACCATGATTTATTGACACAGTTGGTACAACAAAGTATGTTCTTGTTCACCTCAATTTTGATGATCTTACTCCTGTTACAATTGACATACCAATATCTACCTATGCTTCACTTTTTCGTACTCTCACTTTTACTTTTTCCAAATCACATGACCAGTCATGTGACCATTTACTTTACTTTACTTTACATTTTCAACTTTTCATAGTCACATGACCAAGTCACGTGACACAACACCTGACCAATGTCTAGACTCATCATGTGACCGGTCACATGCTAAACATCGGACTTTAAACTCTATTTACAACTGTACAGTACCTCATGTATTTTAGTATATATACAGGAGCAATACATGGGGAAGGACTCAGCAAGTCCTTCTGTTGTCTCCTAACAACTAACTTGTTCCTACCAAATGGGTAGCCACTCCCACCTTTTCCTCTTCTTTTGAGTGTTGCTTTCATTGTGCTCCAGTGCCCCAAGGCTGTGTCTTGTTGGTGTTGTCACAATTCCCAGATGTAGCTCATGATTGCTGTTCTAGATACAGTTGGAGTGGCAGCCCCCTCTGTCTCTCTTTCATCTCTATCATCTATAACTATTCCCAAAATGGCACGTGTACTAGAGAGATTTAATGACAACATGCCCCAAGCCTCCATTCCCATTCACACATCAGATTTGACAGCTAGTTGCACTATTTGTAAGGTCATTCTGAAGCTTGGCGTGGCATTTTGAACAGCTGCCAATTATTTTGGCCTCCTACAGGAGTACAAGTATTGCCCATCATATGATCCGGAAAGTATGTTTCTCAAGGTGACCTGTGCAATTGTAAACAGGGGACTCAAGAGTCACAATTATCTGTGCACGTGTTCATTCAAGATTGGATTCTCCCCCCTCCTTGGCCTTATGAAAATATGTCCATGTAGCGCCTAATGAATTGGATGCATTACGGGAGCAAACACAAGTCCGGTGTGAAGTGACTTATCTTATAGACAAGGTGTTGACTACTCCAGATTTTCATCCGGAGGACCTCCTAGGTTTTAACAGCAGGCAGGGTAACAAGTTGCTGGATTTGGCTACATCAAAAATCTCCAATCCTTCTACTGACGGGTGGAAAGAATCTAATGTCAGCATAAAAATGCTCATGCGGGATAAAAATATGCCAAATAAATGGTTTACAGTCTCCGGTCTTTGTCATTGTTCATTAACAAGTATAATCAAGTCTGTTTTCACTCATTTGTCCGCAAAAGTATTCCATCTTACCCCTTGGACATCCAACTTGAACAAGTGGTTACCACAGTCATATATATAAACAATATTATATACTCCTATACACTCAGACCAGTGAGTGGTCTTGAGCTCAGGTAGGTCCAAGTCTATCAATTTATTCAGATGCTTACAACTCTTGTCAGTCCTCAAATGCAATTAAATGAGCAGTGTTCATTTACTTTGTATGTTTCCTTGAGTTCTTCCTTGGCTTCTTTTTTGACATCTACTCATAGAGACTTATCTACTCTAATAGGATGTTGAGTTTATTATGGGGCAGATACATAGTATAGTAATAACCTTCCATCTTAGACAGGGCATTATTACCTGATAATATTACTATATTGACGGAGCCAGTGGAGTCCGGAGGAGTGTGCCAGCTGGGCCATGTTAGACGTGATATTATTGTGCCTATCATCGACGACCCGGCTGGGTGAGACACTGCCCATCCTAGATAACCCAGCTGGGTTAGTATATTATAGGCCTGCTTGTCTTAGACAACCAGGTTGGGTGATAGGGTGCCTGTCTTAGACGACCTAGCTGGGTCACAGGATAATGAGTGACAAGGAGTGCAATAGATTGCTGAGATGCAGTGTGGTCTTACCTCCACTCTTGATAGATATCTGAGCTATTATTAAATCTTGATAATTCTGCCCTCTGAGGTCCTGATGGATTTGAGGCATCCATGAGACATCTTTAGGCACATATTTACATATATAGCAATACTATTATCTACTTGAGTATTGGTATACCCAGGTCAAAGACAGTTGTCTCTGTGCTGTCTTTTGGTTTCTCTGTCACAGATGGAGCACCAATGCTGAAAACAAGCCCTCATTTTCCACTATATCCTGGTTTCAATGTCCAGGCACTGGTGGTGTTGAATTTTGAGCTTTTAATGATGACTTTTGTACACTAGGGACCCCTATGTCAAAGACTGAGGGCCCGGGCATCCCTAAGTTTGTGCTTCCAGGGTTGTTATGATTATGCCTCTTGCATGGCACCCCAATACCAAAAATGTTTTTCCCGGGGTTGCTCTTAGGTCTTCTGGAGGGCACCCCAATATTGAGGACATTTTTCCTGTTACGATTAGGTCTCTTGCATGGTACCCCAATATCAGAAATATGGTTTGTAACAGTGGGTGCTGGGGAATGATCTGAGGAAGGCCCCAGGGAGGGAACACAGGAAGGACCCGGGGAGTATCCAGATGAGTTGGACCCCTCCGGGGATGGCAAATCGTCTGATAAGCCAGTTAACTCACTTGAAATTGCTGATGAAATGTATATCAGACCTTTTAAGTACAAATCAATGTATGAACTCACAATTCATGGTTATATATAGTGGATAACATGGTGGGTAACATGGGTAAATCTGAAGAAAAAGTATTTCAAGATGGTGGTGTTACAATTGACATACCAGCACCTACTTACACTTCACTTTTTGTACTTTTACTTTCCATTTTCCAAGTCACATGACTGATCATGTGACCATTGACTTTACTTTACATTTTTGGACTTTTCATAGTCACATGCTAGACATCGGACTTTGAACTTTATTTACAACTGTACAGTACCTCATGTATTTTAGTATATATACTGAAGCAATACATGGGGAGGGACTTGGCGAGTCCTCTTCTAGTGTATACCAATATTAGTATGACAACCTCCCTCCTTTGATAGGTTGTACACTTCCTTTTCCTCCACTGAGTTGTTGTTGTTGTTGTGCTCCAGTGCCCAAGACTGTGTCTTGTTGGTGTTGTCACAGGTGGTGGAGTAATATTTGACATGATGGGACATACCTGGGGATGGTTCCCGGGCACTGGATTTGCACTGGGGAGTTGGCATTGGCAACATTTCTGGTGTTTGATTGTGAAAAATATCAAGTCCAGCTTTTATCATATGCATTTTTCTCAAAATTCCCACGGGCACAATTTGTGGCACCTGATCCATGTATAGCGCGTCTGAACCCTTTAACATCTCAGTTACTCAGGCATAACACCCTACACCACACTTTCAACCCCTCCCCAACCAAAAACACCATCCCAATGTTTTTCTCCACCCATGAAAAGATCTACATAGCCAACAAGCATGTTAGAAAGGCCATTCATTATGTACTGGCCCATAGGTCCTGTCCAACACAGGGACCAGTTTGTGGAGAGGCTGAGGGAGGAAGTAGTGAGTGGAACAGATGCAATAAGTGAGGGAAACAAAGCCCACCTTCTCACGCTGCACTGTCTTACTCCTCAAAGTGATGGCCAGGATCTCATCGACTTCAGCTTTACATCCCTGGTTCCCAGCCACGTACAATGGTTGTCCCCAGCACAGCAGTGGAGTCTGCCTCCTTCCTTGGAAAAAAGGGTAGCAAGGATGGAACAAAGGCAGGGCATCATTGGGGATCTCTATGGGAGGATTAGCCAGCTGGAGGATGAGGTAGCAAGGTTGACAGTAAAGGAGAGGGAGTACAATTAGACAAAATCATAGTTCAATGTAATATGAATTTTATTTTTCTTTCTTTTTTTCAACTAGCTTTCATTTGCATATACTTAGTTTCTCCTCATTCACCACTCAGTGTACATTTGATTACTTGATTTACATAAATTTGAACTACCTACACTACAATCTCAGTGTGATAATGTGTGCCCAGGACCTGTCTAACTCCAACACATTGATAAGCTATCTGTAAGTGATGCTTGGCAATATGGAAACATTACCCGGGAACGGTTTATAGCCAAGTGATCTATGATCTGTTCAGCCGGACTGTAAGATCATCTAACCCAGGACGACTACAACACTCACATCCCCGGGTACACATTTTAAACCCAGGGCTATTATGTACATTTATTAGATTACTGTACAAGAGGTGTACCTACTGTTCAATGCCTCCTGGGTTTCTTTACCTTTAATGTCTGATCTACCTTGGTGTCCTTGACTTGTTGAAGCTGCTTTACTAGACTATTATCTGACCTTGTCCTGTGTGCAATATTCCCGGGTTTCTCATCCATCTCCTCATGCCCACATTTGATGGGACCCTGCATCGCCCTTGTCACCATCCTGGGTAGAGGCCTTGCCTTTTCAGGGAAGGCGGATTCCAAGCTATTTTGTATTGCAGTGGTCATGTCCCTACAGAATGGGAGGATAGTTTTGCCCACCATGGCAAACTTAATATATGACCATGTCAAGTTGTTGTCCTCATCATAAAATTAGATTGTATGAAGGTCCCAGAGCAGCATTCCTACTGCCAAACATATCAGGGCCATAGTTGTATGGCCCCTGATACCTGTGTGGCCGTCCTGGGACCCCGGTTTAGAGTTTTATTGCCTTAATAAATCTCCAATAGAATAATGCTGTGGACATAGCCCCATGAGGCCCATGACAGCCAGTAGTCCAAGTAATCCTCTGGCTTGCCATTAGTTTGAGAGCTGGGCCCGGGCTTGTCCTTTGGCAGTTGGTACACTGCATCCACCAACTTCAGGTATTCCTCCTCAGTACATAACCTGGAAAGGAACCTCCTCTGAGATTTGTGTGTAATAGAAGTATGCCGGGGACTGTCCTTGTCCACTTCTTCTACACCTACAGATTGCTGCCCTGAGATAGAAGGAGCCAAGATGGGGTTGGGCATTGATTTGGAGGGTCCGGGCCTGGTTGTTGATTCCTGGAAGGCTACAGTTTGTCGCCTTGCAGCTGGTTTGGAGGGCCCGAGCTGGTTTTGAATGTCGGCACTGTGTTCATCATTGCTTGGAATTTTATCAAGCTCCTCAATCTCATCTTGTTTCTCATTGGTGGATTTGCTTCTGGGTGCAACCATTCCCGCTTTGGGAAGGAATCTCTTCATTGTTGCCTCTTTTTACCCTTTCTTTTATTGGCTACCGGGTGAAGACTAGATTTGAACCTGAAGGTAACTTTGGCATTTATATTGTTCTGCCAGTTGTACCAATGGTCCAACAGACCCCGGGTCTCCTCCTTTACCATACGTGATGGTTCCCAGAACTTGTACCCCGGGGGTATGTACCCCTTTGACAAGTCAATATAGTTGCCCGGCACTCTGCAAGCTGTCAGTACTGAGGCTTGCATTCAGTGAATCTACAGATGGAATATCCATGTTGTGAGTGAAGCTGATATTTTCTTTCTGCTGTTTGGTAGCTCTCTTTGCACAGATCCATCTATATCAGCCACATACAGTTCAGTACTCTGGATTTTTTAATTAGATAGAAACTTACTAAATTAACTTTGCCCATACTTGCCCCAAGCCTCCCATATCTTTACATTTTGCCAGTTGGGTTGTACCTTACTAAAAAGCTCAAACACAGCTTTGTCATTTTGCTCATGACTACAATTAAAGCAATCAGTTTCAGCAACAACACACCCAGTTTGAGAACTGGGGTCTGTAGACTACTTACAAGGACACACAGATGGTTCCATTTGTATATTTATGGGTGATGAGCACAAAACTCAACGTTCCCAGATCCCAGCTATCTTGCACCTGAAAGTCCTTCACTACTTTCCTACCCTTCATTTTAGCAGATCTTGAGTTACTATTTGTCCCAGGTGAGTAAAGGACATCATACTCACTTTTGTCTCATTTCCTCTGATGGCCCATTAATATACCACTCCTTGCGCTTCTCTTTAAGTTCAGCTAGGTCCTTCTCACTGAGCTCAGTCAACATTGCCTTCAGGACACTCTGCAGTTTACCAATATAACCTGACTGCCCCGGCTTCACTCTGTAAAGGTCGCACATCCTCTTCTCCACCTCCTTCTTCACTAAGTTGAGCACTTGGTTCAGACTTAAATACTTTCCATGCCCGGCAACCTTCATCAGGAAAAATGGGGGTAGCTATATAAAGCTCTATAGCACTATAAGTACTCATAAAGCTGTTATAGTGGTCAAACCTGTTATAGAACCTCTGCCATCTATAGAGCCTCATATAACTCTATAAATGCTCTTATAGAAATTGTTGTGTGGCTGATAAAAAAAAATCAACACAGATAGGATTTGAACACTCAACCTACTAGTCAGCTCTTGGGTGACTAAGCAACCTACAGGCACACATCACATTTATCCACTACACCATGAGAGCTTATAAAATATATCATCCAGGTGTTATATATTGATCTTTTATGGACTTAGATTATTTTTTTACTCGTTGTCACTACTTATATTTGGATAAATCATTATTCTTATTTTGTGAGTATCAGGGATACAAACTACTATTTCACTAATACAGGCTATATAATTAATTAATACTGGATGATTTATTAGCCCTTTTAAGCACCTTGAACTATATTATAACTATGACCTTTACAGCTATAGGAACTATGTAGGCTGCTATAGGCTATAAAACCACTTATAGTATCTTGCCTATAATAATATACTTGACTCCAAACACTTTGGCCTCTTTCTATTATTGAACAAGTTTATTAGATTAGAGTTTGAGGGAATTATAGATACTTCTCCCCTTGGTTAAATTTTTGCCTACTACTGTGCTATAAGAGCTATAAGAGCTATGATTGCACTGATAGTACTATAGTTTCTATGAATGCATTTATATATATAGGTGGTGGCTATATAGCGCTATATAGCAAAAGGGTTTTTCCTGATGTTGTTCCTGGGCTCTTTATTACCACTGTGGTTGTACAACCAATACCTGACCCGCTGCAATATTAGTTGTAAACATGATGATATACTTTGACAATTAAGAGTGATCATACTTTTTTCATGTCAGTTAAATCCTTGATGTTAGTTTGTACATGTCCTCCCAAAATTTCCCTGACTTCATCCCAGGTATCATTAAGTACACATCCCCATTGTAGAGAATTTGCACCCCAGAACTCTTCCAAATGTGCATTGAGTATTCCAATTTAGGCGTCATTAAACTGTACTTCAGGCATGATTAAATGTGGTATGAGTTAAAAAGTGAGGTGCATATTTGAAGATGAGCACTATCTTTCTTTTTTCCATTTGAGTGCAAATTTTCAGTCAATTGAATACCATATTCATCTATTCCAAGCAAATGTTAGGCTTTTTTTTCAGATCTAAGCAATGATATCATTACCTTAACTCCATACTGGGCCTTCGGCTAAGGCCCGGAACATGTCAGGTACCTCCCAACTAATGTCTTCCCTGATATATTGCTTCCATATATGGAAATTTAAATTTAGTGCCAGGTCCATCAAGTTAATTAGCCTTGTGAGGCCGCAGCTCGTCCCAATGTTTGGCTCCAGTATTACAAAGAGTAGATTGGAAGGAGTTCAAAACAAGCAGAGGTATGCGTAGAAAACAAATAAGTGTGAAAGACCACATATCCCGATCAACTTTGTCAACGCCCCGTCAAACTCATAAACATAATATGTTCCCCATCCAAGACATTGACCATTCCTTTTTTGAGCCAATGCTTATACCTCCAAGGAAGGCAAGTCCATTGAGTAAGCACCCCCGCCATTATTTGTCTGACATCGGTGTAGTCACAAAATGATTACATGAGACAATGGCTGGATCATTGTTCAGAGTATCTGCAAGTCCTCATGCAGGAAGAGGGGCGGTCCCCAGGGCAGACTTGCAGCCTTTGTTTAGTGAGAGAAGGAACTTGGCAATGCACAGAATATTTGGGGAAACCAGAGTATTGCATGTTATGCTGCAGGGATGCTCACCAGAGGTTACCATTTCATAGAGTTGAGCAATGGGTGGGCACACATTTTGAACTTTCTTGGCTTTATAGAGCTTGTTACGATAATACAATTTTTGGACCTTTCCTTTATTTTCATTCTCCGCTTTAACCTTGTATACTTTAGCTTTCACACATGGTGCCACGCAGCACTTCCCCTTTTGTTCAAACTCCTCTTTCTCATGCTGCATTGCCTTCTTCTTATTTTAGATACAACTCTCTCACACAGTGGAGCTGGTCATGCAGGCTAGGCCCCATGACATCATCAGCCACTGACTTTATCAACTGTATAGTACATAAGTACAAACACTCTGTATTAGTATATATACCCCAGTAGATCCAGGGGACTCCTTAGTGAGTCCTCTTGTTGTTTACCAACAAACTCTCTGCAGCTTAAGGGGTAATCACTCCCCCATCACTACCTTTATAGTGTGTTCTTGTGTGTGCCAGAGTAACTAACTCTTGGTTGTTACATTAGGACTCGCTCTTCTACTCTCTCGCACGTTGTGCAAAAGTCCCACTGGGCACCCGGACTCCAGGGTGAAGGAGATTTGGTTATTGGTTGGGAATATCCCGCATAGCAGATAGGTGCGCTCCTAGCGACGGCCTTGTAGTGCTTTGGGAGAAGAACCAATACCTTAAATACGCAGCCCCCAGCGTTAAGGGGAGTACTTAGCTCGGCAGTCGGTGTAGAACCACTATTGATTAGAATTTACATACAAAACTTCTTCTTCAAATACCTCTGACCGGGCCGGGCACTTGCCTCCGCAGTCTGGAGAAGGGTTGACAGCTTAACAAGCGGACCACCCCCTGACAACCGTTTGGACCAGGGTTTCATATAAATACTTATATATACAATTCAAATACTATAGTGTGGGTAGTCGGAGATTGAGATCCAATGCTCAGCTGGGAAGAGGTTGATCCACAGATAGCAAGCGGGGACCCCCAGTTACCTTTTTTTTTACATTACCAAAGAGAACAAGTCAACATGTCATTGCAACCGGATATCAACAGTCTGCTGCACAACATGCGTGCGCAGATTCAGGCATTAACTACGCAACTCGCCGAGCTACAGGCAAACCCCCCTGCAACAACCCCCTCGGTAGAGAAAAAGTTCAATAAGAAAGTCGAAGTCATCGCTGACCCTGTCGCCTTCAAAGGAGACAGAGCGCAATTTGCCAAATGGTGGATCAAACTCCAGATTTGGGTTAAGGCAAACTGGGACGCATTTGCCGATGACTTTGAGGTAGCCACTGGGGTGCTATCTCGACTAAAAGGACCTGTGGCGGGTCGATATGCCCAAGTAAGACTTCAGGAGTGCTACACCGCGGGAGTGTGGCCCACCTGGGACAATCTCAAAGTAGAGATCGAAAAATATTTCAAGCCGCAAGCTGAGGGCAACTGGGCACGTCAGCAAATCTGTTCCTTCAAACAAGGCAACATGAGGATGGATGATTTTGTAACCCGGTTCCTGGCCCTCTCCATCCAAGGGGGTCTTGGTAATGAACATGTGGTGGAGCTGCTGGAACGCAATGCGAACCCCCACATTGCAGAACAGCTTTATCTGCAGGATATGAGAAATGAGAATCTCTCTCAAGCAGCAGAGGAGGTTCGGAAAATAGGTAGGGCCATAGAGCTCTACAAAATGCACCAAGGTGACGAGACCACCAAAAACAACCAATCCCAGAGGCGCCCTGGGTCATCAAACCATCATAATCACTCTCACGGGTTCAAGCCGTTTGGGCTGCAGCCAGGACAGGGTGCTCCTATGGATATCGGCGCAGTCCAAGGCGGACAAATGCACAGATTCAAGGGCAACTGTTACAACTGTGGCCAAGAGGGACACATGTCCCGAGATTGCAGAAATAGGGCGCAGGCCGCCCAACAAAAAAATAACCAAGGGCGCCAGGTGTGCCAATTAGAATCCGAAAAACTGGACGATTGGCTCCAGACTCTGGCTGGTCGTTCGTACGACAAAATCCGGGCCTTCTTCTACAATCAGCAGGCTGCTGAAATGAAGGCTCAGGGAAAAGAGTTCGGAACTTAGGTCACTTGGGTGCCTTCGCTCCTATGAACAATGAAGTAAACCACAACAAAGTGGCCCCTGCTCCAGGGTGTTGCACGAGCAATAAAGGAAAGACGGGGATGGCTCCCCAATTTGTAAATAAATTTCTAAATTTGTTATCTGAAACCTGTACCTGTATGAAGCATTGTGACTATAATATTTATGATACTACCGCTGCACCAGCGTCTCCCTTGGAGCGTGGCCCCGGCGAGACAAACAATAGGGTGCTTGATTCTGGTAAAAATAAGATAGAAAAACATGTAACTTTCAATACCTCTTCTTCTTCACTGGAGCCACCCTTTCCCAAAATCCCAAGGTGTGTGTTGATGCGCACATATTTATTCCAAAAGGAGATCCATTTAGACATTGGTGTGGAAAACCTTGCCTGGGGCATAGTACACCCAACCAGCGCACTGCTTGATTCAGGCGCTAACGGAATCTTCATAGATCAGGCCTGGGCGGAGCAAATTGGACTCCCCCTTGTAAAATTAGATGTATCTATTCCCATCTATAACATTGACGGTACGCTTAACGCGGGTGGCTGCATCACGCACAAATGTTCTTTTGTTGTCGAATACCAAGGACACAGAGAACGAGTCACCGCTGAAGCTACCCAACTAGGGAAGATTAATTTAATCTTGGGCTGGACCTGGCTATTTAAACACAATCCTGAGATCAACTGGCAGACAGGGGTTGTCACATTGTCATGTTGCCCTCAGGAGTGTGTGAACTTGGGTAAACTGAATCATGTCCATCACAATGAGCGTCTTGAGAAGATAAACACTGGTCACGTTTATGAGCTCAGATCTTTAGAAAAGATCGACGATGACGATGATGAGGTAAAACCCGAAGAAGAGATTAAAAGGCTGGTACCTCCCGAGTACCATGACTTCTGGAAAGTCTTTTCTAAACATAAATCAGAACGCTTCCCAGAGGCTAAGCCTTGGGACCATGCTATAGATTTGAAGGACACCTTCAAACTGAGAAAAGGACACATGATACCACTCTCTG